GAAAAGTACTGTCACAGATATGGATTTGTGTTCCTAGAAACCAGGGCCTGGAGCCATTTACCCCCCCCCCCCCCCCCCCCCTTCTTTATTTGGCATGAGATTGGACAGATGTGACACATTACAGTGCAAGCGTAACTGAGGATGTGGTCTTCATTCTGTGCTGTTAGCATACTCTGAATAAGGATTTAACTGTTTTAAATTAACATTTAATAGAGAAATGGATGAGAGATGCATATGAAAGCAGCTGTTTGTTCTGTAAACTGTTTGGGAAGTTCCCCTGCTGTAGTGAACTTTAGCATGGACCGTCAGGCCGTGTTTAAAAAGATGCGTTTGCGGCCTGATGTAAATCATCAGATCTGTAGCCTGGCAGACACAGAGATCTCAGCAGCTGTCTGTGCTCACAGACCTAACACTTCCTCCTATGGCTGTGAAATGAGCTTATGGGGGACTGTATGTTTTACCAGAGCCATGCAGCCGGTTACAGCAAACCCTTTCAGTTAAGAAAACCCTTAATGATAATGTGCTGCAAATTCATTCTGCTTAGTAGTATTCTACCAAGAACTTTCAGAGTTATTGTAATACATTTATTGTCTAGCTCTCACACAAAAAGCTCTAATCTCAGATGAGTTGGCCACATGTTTACTCCTTTTTAAGAATTTGAATATTACTAATTTAATTTTACTCTTTTACACATGAATTTTTCTGCTGCAAAGTATGCCGACTTTGTTTGCCTTTAGACACCTAGCTGGACACTCGTTCAGATCATTCAAAGTGCTTCCTCAGTTTATGAAGTAAATGTTCAGTATTTCTTACAGTATTTATTTTACTAATTTTAAACATTTATTATATATTTAAATATATTTATTTAAATTTGATGTAAATACTTTTCCTTATTTAAGTAGGCTTACCGGTATTTAACGTGAAATATTCATTTATATGTTCATTTCTTGTTTAATGTGGCATTGACAAAGAAATGACAACGCATTTGAATCTCTAAATGTTAATAAAATTTAGTAAATGACAAAAAAAAATTTTGGTTCACACAACCTCTATTTGGACCCAAGCATCGCCTGACCCGTTGCGCACCTGGTAACCATCCCAGAGTTCAGGAGCCTCTAGTTTTATCTGTAACTGTTGAGGTGCACCGTTTGCTGAAGCCAGCTCTTATCTCGCAGAGCTTTGATCTACCGTTTGCTCCACTCCCCACTGGCATTGCCTGCGCGAATGCTATGCAACCCACTAGCATGAGTCATGCCAATCCGTTTTATTTGCCTTTTTACAAATGCAAATCTCAGGGGTTATTCAAGTGCGCTGTTATTCAGAGGCGACTCTCACAGCTGCCTCTTTCTCAGCCAGATTCGATCCCCTGATTGAAATGACGTTTGATTTGCTCTTACGTACTACATATTTAGTCCAGCTCTGTGATGTGGTCAAAGCTGCTTTGATCCAGTTCTCGCCACATCCATGGGCGTCTTATTGCACCTTGTTGTGCACCCACACAGCTTCTGGGAAAACGCTGTCAGGTGAGAGACTCCCATCTGCATCGGTGCTGTTGGCAAGCCAAACACTACATGTCACACATTACTCTGTAGAAATAGCACTGCAGTAACAGAGCAGCTCTGTGCTGATTCAATTTCAAGAGTTGGCATTGCATCCATTATCATTATTGTATTAGCATTAGGCTTATTTTCTCAGAAAAGAGCAGGGGTGAGTTTTCTAGAAGGGCTCACTGCTGTATCTGGTTACTGCAGTATTTTCTGGGTTGTTTACAGACAGGAGGGCTCGGCAGCTGCGTTTATTTCAATGCTAGGCCAGAGGTGTAGATTTTTGTGTGCGCGACAGTCGAGTAAACAGCTGATTGTTCACTGAACTGTCTGTGCACAAGGTCACGTGACTGGCTAAGCAGAACTAGAGATAAAAGCTGACCTGTTTGTCTGCGAGTTAGTTAATAGATAAGAAGGGCACATTATGCGGTCTCTTTTACGCCCACATACCCTACTGTTCAAAAGTTTAAAAGAATGTTGTTTTTTAACAAAATTGATGCTTCTTTTTCCAAAAGCAGAATTCAATCAACATTGAGTAAAAAACATTTACTTAGGTTGCTAATTATTATTGAAATTGCTGTTTTATAATTCAAAGGTCCCTTTTCAGCTGCCAGTCTGCTAAGAAAATATTCTGATATTCTCTGCTTTAAAATAGTAATTACTGTAAACATGGGTATCTTGGGTTTAAAATATATATATATACTACACAGTACTTGCAAGGGCTTCCTTGTCTAAGTTGGCTGTGTATATAGTAGCCCACAGTATGTTGTCTGTTTAAGCAATGTTTACTTTTATAACCAAAACCTCAATTATTTGCATCACATGATTGAGAAGAGCACAAGCACCTGTGTTTTTATTTTGAGAAACGGGGTGCTAAAATTTATGCTTGTGGTTTGCCAAGACAAGTGTGTATGAGGTGCCAAAGTTAAACCCATCACTTCCCCCCCCCCCCCCCCCCCCCTCTCTCTCTCTCTCTCTCTCTTTCTCTCTCTCTCTCTCTCTCTTTCTCTCTCTCTCTCTCTCTCTCTCTCTCTCTCTCTCTCTCTCTCTCTCTCTCTCTCTCTCTCTCTCTCTCTCTCTCTCTCTCTCTCTCTCTCTCTCTCTCTCTCTCTCTCTCGCTCTGTCGCACACTCGCCCACTCACTCACACTTGTTTATCCTTCCTGTGTCTTATCAGCAAGAAAAACCTCCATTTAAGTTGCAATTATTGAGTCTTTTTGCATTTTTCTCACTCCAGACAAAAAGAGAGGCTAGCAAAGCTGCAAACCCTGCATGCTACAGAAGACCTCTTCCTTTGTCCTCCGTTATCAGACATTGATTAGATTAACTACTGACACAGTGAGATGGGAAATAAGATGGCCTCTGTTTGCAGAGAGCAGACTCCGATCACAACCTTCCTTAAAGTTTGGCCTTTGAATGTAATCTATGGGCCCAAAATCATACTATATGCAAGTACATGAATGCTTCCAAGCTCAGTTTTGCACCGCAGTGGCCACTGGCCACCTATAGCAGGCGTTAGCATGAACTGTCTTCTTCTGCAGTCATTTTTCTCATTTTTCAACTGCTTTCATGGTGGAGTAAAAGTTTGAAGAGAATCTTGTTGAGTAAGTTAGTAAAGTCAGTTGAACTGTCAGCATGTTTATAGCTAACTACTACTTGAATACAACAACAAGTACGCACAACAGGAATGCATGCTTGAAATGCATTGGCCAAGCATTTGCATTTGTATGTTTTTTTCAGTGTTTTCTCACTCTGAGTCGCTCCATCATGTTTCCTTTCTAACATTGCACTCACCCCAGTCAATAAAGTGTACCCTTTCATTCCAATATCTATGGCTGTATCCCCTTTGTTTCTCTCTCTCCGCTACCTCTTTCCCACAAGAATGGTTCGCGTTCTGGAGCTAGAGCCTGTTCTTGGCCAATTCTTAGCCAGAAGAACTAGAGCCTGTTGCAAACCGGCTGCGTTTTTGTCCACAAACTAGAAAAAATGGACGGTGATGTAATGCTTCTAAGTGTTGTTTACCTGACTATAAACCAGTGTGAAAACAAACACTTTTCATCTTGGTGTTTGTGCAGGAAACAAGTGCAGCACTTATGTTTTGCTTTTCAAAGTACCTGGAGTGATTCTAGTGTACCTGCAGCTCTCATATAAGCTGCCGGTACTTACGGTACCAGTGTAGAGCAACATTATTACATTTATCAACAAGAACACCATAGACAGCATCAGCATTTCTCCCCTACTCCCTGGCTCCATTCGAGAACGCCAGAGTTGAGCCGATCTTTCTGGCCTGGAACCCCCTTTCATGCGTTGGAAACGTGTGGAGCGGTTCAAGAATTGGAACTGACCTGGAATCCGCTCACAAACCATGTTGGTGGAAAAGCGCTTTGTGTCGGTGCACTCTCTCTACTGTCCTTTGGGATTAGTGGTACTTAATGGGTTGCAGATGGCTGCTGCTAGTGTGGTTGTTAGTGCATTTGGGAAGCAAATGAATGTGTCTGCATTAATGTGGAGAAGGAATGCCACCGTCAGCATTTTACAATGGTGGCACATCAGTGACACCAAATAGACTGGTTGCAGATAGCCCGGGAATCTATGTCCTCATGCACTGAACTTTTATGTATAGCTTTTATAAGATGCATGTTGCAATTTGTCGCCAGGTATGCAGAGCGACTCTTTCACAGAATGGAATTAGTGCTCACGTAATGCATATGATTTAATCCCTGGGGTTGTGTAAAACTAGGCCAGAAAAGTGGCCTTTTTCCACAAACTGCCACTGGATTAATTCATCACTGGCGGTTGCTGGAGCAATCATAATGGTGATTAATGATTGGGCTTGCGCACACTGTTTTAACTGCTGATAAGGGCACAGCCTGACCGGAAAGGAACTATGACATCAACGCTTGGATACCCTCATGCACAGGGAGGTGCGTTCCATCCAAAAACCCTATCTTCCTGACACTGTTCTGATTGGGAAGGTCAGGCTCTCCTGGATAGAATATCAGAGAGGTTTTTTGAGTAGGTTAGAGAGTCAAGGGAGATGATGTAGTGTCGTTTTCCATGACCGGTCATGTTGATCCTTTTGCACCGTGCTTTGCTGTTTCTTTATCTTATAGGAGCCTTTGGTGTGTGCATGTGTGTGGCCCGTACAGGCATTAAGCACAGGATAAGAGGACCACTTTGTGTTTAAACTAGATGAGTCTTGTCCCCTCCTGTGCTTTATGCCTTGTCTATAGGGGCTCTTTTGAAGGCCTGGCAGGAATTGGGGGTCGGATTACATTATTTGAGGTTGAGTGGACCCCCTCCAGTTGATATCTCATTTAAAGCACATCTGTATTACTTATCCCTGAGTTTAGAAATGATTAATTACAATAAACGGCTGTTAAATATGGTTTCCATTACATTAAAATTAAGTATGTGGCTAAATGTTTTGTATTTTGTTCTGTTCTTGTCCTTGCAGGATCGGAAGCTGTCAAAATCTGAGCGGCAGCGCTTCAAGGAAGAGGCCGGCATGTTGAAGGGCCTGCAACACCCAAACATTGTGCGTTTTTACGACTCATGGGAGTCGCCTTCCAAAGGCCGCAAGTGCATTGTGCTGGTGACGGAGCTCATGACGTCAGGAACCCTAAAAACGTGTGTAGAATCTGTCTGTTCCACTTTCATATTATATTGTCTGTCCATCATATGTTTGCCTAAAGAATGAATGGTCAGATGAAAAAATCAGCAAATACATGCAATTTATTTTGTTAGTATTGTGGTATTATGTAAAGGATGTTTTTACTAAGTTTTTTTGTTCTGTCGCAATTTTTTTGCAATTTAAAACGTCCACTGGGGTTAATATTTTATTGTGGTACTGCATTCAAATGAACAACCTTTTCACCCGCCTCATGTCCATCACCAGAGTTGTTGCCAGAGTGATTGCAGGCGAAGAGTGGCATGTCACCTCCATGTGAGACATGCATTGTGGGTACTGAACAGATGCTGGAGCTTCAGACACATACTGGACCAGCAGCCCCCTCCTGTGGATGTCTGGGCTCTGACATGCACACACAGTTATGAAAGCCCACTTAAATACTGATATCTGACTGCAAGACAATATAAGGTCATCTAATAGAAAGTTATCAGGTTATCAAAAAAAAAGTTTGATTCGTGCACACAAGACATCACTGAGAGAAACTATAAATAATGCAGTAAGATTGATATACTCAATATAATTGGTTTACTGAATAAATCTGGGTTATCCGTTTAACATAAGAACATATTAATAAATTTGATTGTAATCATTTGTTGACATGCGTTTCTGGATACAACAAGTCCCTACCAAGATCTATGATCCTCAGAGCCTCAGTTTCGCTCAATTAGCTATCTTTAACACAGCTCACAGCAACACCACTGTTACTGCTTGGAGAGAGAAAGACAGTGGAGGAGAAATGGGGAGATGAGTGAAAAAGGGAAAATGATAAACCGGGTCAGGCTTGCTTTGTGTTCATCAGCTTTGGCATCCTGGCAATGTGTGGTGTTTGCTTGGCTGCTCCTACACCTCAAAGATAAACAGTGATCAAGAGGTCAGGTAGAAATGGAGCGTCCCACAGACATGGACATGCCATGCCTAAACTAGTCAGTGTTCTTGTTTTTGTCTGGGTCGCCAAAGACATAACGACTCACTAGAGTTTTGTACCTCTTCCTGTCTTTTTATGTTCGCATAAAAGTCCTGGTTCCCTTGTTCGCATTCAAATCCAACATTTAGGACAGAAAAATACTCTTCACATGTACTTAAAAATACTTTTTAAACGAAAACTAATTCAAATAAATCTGACAAAATAATATTATCATAATATTTCTTGAATGTTTCAGGCCTTAGACTGTTTATGAAGTTCAGAACGGATTGTTTTAAATTACTTCCAATGTTTCAAGAAGTGTGGAGAGAGTTGTTGGTATAGCTGGAAAACAGCCTGTTTGGGCCCTCTGGGAACCACTGGGTGTGTTGAGTGATGAGAAAGTTTTGAATCAGGCTTTGTTGCTCTCTCCTGTATCGCCTCGGGACTTACCCTTGGCTCCGTTCCGACCTGTCAGTCAGCCGCCACACTCCATCAAAGCTTCCCTGTACCACCGCCTACCTCCTCCCATTGGGCAAAGCACTACTCATAGCTCGCTTCAGTCTTACTAAGCAAACTACAGAGCTAATATGTTTATACAGAAATGCTTGACTTGCTATATATATCTTCACATGCTGCCTGCAAAACCAGTTTTGGCCATTTTTCTATTACTATGAGAAGCAGAAAAAGAAGAGGAAAGGATTCTATTTTGAAGTCACAGTTACGATCATCCGTAAACAGATGTTTCTTTAGAAAATTCACTTATCTGATTCTTCTCAAGAGAAGTGAGAAATGAGTATACGTTCTGTTTAGCTTGTGCCCATCTTCACCTAGGAATTGGGCGCCTGAACTGAGTAGATTGTTGTAATGAGGATTACAAGGCCAAATCCTGGCTATGGCTTGGCTCCAAGATTTGATTAGGCCAAGCTAATCTATCGAAAGTGCTGTACTACCCTCTTTACACTGTCCTTTCTTTAATTTGGGACTTTCTCTGCCTCACAGAAGAGAATACAATTGTCCAAATGGATGCTTCCAGACCCAGACCCATCATAATGAAATAGTTTAATTCCCCGTGATCCTCATATGGGCTGAACTGAGATCTGATTGATCTGTTATTGAGGGGAGAGTTTTCTCATTGATTTTCTTTCCCTTTATGGTTTCATTGGTTGAAATTTTCCATCCCAGTCATGACCGCCAAAACAGAGAGCTGTAGACACGTATCATCTTCCGTTGACACATATGCTGTTTGTTTTTACTCTGTCAAGGTCTTAAACAAAACCATTATGGCTGTTCAGGGAAGAAGAACGTTGCCCTAATTCTCAACTCTAATCTCTTTGTTCCTCAGGTATCTGAAGCGCTTCAAGGTGATGAAGATAAAGGTGTTGCGGAGCTGGTGCCGACAAATCCTCAAGGGCCTGCACTTCCTCCACACCAGAGCTCCTCCCATCATTCACCGGGACCTTAAGTGTGACAACATCTTCATCACCGGACCCACCGGCTCCGTTAAGATCGGCGATCTGGGTTTGGCCACCCTCAAGCGCTCTTCATTCGCTAAAAGTGTCATAGGTACGACCCAGCGTTCTAACTTTCTTGCTTTCCCCACCTCCCAAGTCAGTTCACCATGGCTTATACAATTCAAAAATATGTGTCATGTCACTGCTTGTCTTTTCAATGATGAGGTGAAATTGGGAAGGTGGGGCATTTGCTCAGAGTTATGCTCAGATATTTAAGGCATGCTGTAGCTCTGAGCTACACTGTTCACCTTAGACCACAGTTTTCCAGGCAGCCAATGGCACTAGTTTTAATTAGGGGTGGAGACGGGGGGAAACCAGAGGAGAACTTCTTATAAATTGGGGGAACACCTTTAGATCCTGCTGTTTCCCACCTGGAACTAATTGGCCTGTAAATACAACAGGTGAAAACACTTTTAAGTTTCCATAAACTCTGGGGTATTTTGGGTAATAAATGCCTTGAAAATAAAAAACAAAGCCACATGGTGGATAATGCTTTGTTAGTAAGTCTGCTATGAGGATTTTTTGCATGTGATATTAACAGAATAAACATTTTGGTCTGGAACCTGTGGTCTATAATTATAACAATTCTAGAGATTCTCTTGCTGCCAGTAATGTCAAACATCTTTTTCCAAAGGTTTTCCTGATCGCCTCATCAGGGTTTCCCCCTCTTCCTTTTCAGATGGTTTAGATATTGTGATAAATTTCTTTCTGGATCCCTTCTCTCTGTTTCCTCCAAAATTTACTTGTTGCCATTTTTTGTTTTAGTTTTTTTTTCTTTTTCTCCTGGTTTTTGAGAATTTTTTCCTTTTAAACTGTAGGGCTATAATCTCAGCTGGTCTCACTCCACTGTATGGATTATTTAATGTCCTGCAGTTCAGTAAGTATTCTAAAAAATGGCAAGTAAGTGGTAAGTCAACAAGCAACCTACCCCAAAAACGGAAATATTTCAAATATGAGTCTATATTTTAGCTTGTTTTTCTGTGCAAGGCCTTTTAACGCACACTAGTGCACGAGAGTTTTTGCTCACTAGCTATGGGCTTGCTCTGTGCATAAACCTACTTAACATTCTCCCATTACAGGCAGAGGTGAGGTGAGTCGGTCATGTGTTTTCCATAACTGTGTTGTTGACATAGATCAAGTTCCATAGCTAGTCGCCCACCGCTGTCCAGTTCCTCATTTAATGTGTTGGCGGCACAGCAGTGTTGTAAAGATCAACACGGTTTTGAAGGCCATCAATCAGCTCTAAAACTAACCTGCACCAACGCATGTGCGTCTGTCTTAAATCAACTTCCTGTTTGCGAGATGAGGCTTGGCTGCTTGATGCACTAGTCTGACGTGCTGACATAGAAAATCTAAAGGCCTTGCAGAGAAAAACTGGATTATTTCACTGCTAAATAACTGAGGCCGGTTTTCCCCCTTCCTCTTTTTTTTTGTTGTCCTTTTCTCCATATCTTTTGCTCCCCCTCTTTCTCTCCTCTCAGGGCCGTATGGAGCAACAGTGCCATTGTCCTCCTCTCTCCCTTCCTCTCCCCGGCCCTGCTGGGGTGAGTAGAGATCTCAGGCACTGAGAGTTCTGAATGGTTCTTTTGATTTAAGGTACCCCTGAGTTCATGGCGCCTGAGATGTACGAGGAAAAATACGACGAGTTGGTGGATGTGTACGCCTTTGGAATGTGCATGCTGGAGATGGCAACCTCTGAGTACCCGTACTCCGAGTGTCAGAACCCCGCTCAAATCTATCGCAGAGTCACCAGTGTGAGTACCCTCGCACACCTCTGCTAGCTCTCCATCCCTCTATCATTTTGGGTATTTCTCTCTCTCTCCTTCCGCTATAATTTTCACCAGCTCTGTCATTACGCCCACACATTCCTCAGGCCTCTGCTTATGAAATAATTCAATAAAAGCAGCTTTTTTTGTTGCGCTCACTGAAACCTGCCCACAGCTGGGGGCGTCACACAGCATATGAGATTACGTAAGCAACACATAACTATGTCAAACAAATACATAGTTTTGCACTAGGAGCAGGCGGTATGACCAAAATTGTACTTTTATATCATAATAGCAGTATATATCAGTATACGATTTTTTGGAAAGTCTCACCCAGACTGCATTTATTTTGTCAAAATACAGTAAAAAACCTGTAATATTGTGGAAAAATTATTATAAATTAAAATAACTGTTTTCAATTTGATATATTTGAAAATGTAATTTATTCCTGTGATGGCAAATCTGAATTTTCACTTACTCCAGTCTTCTAACATGCTGATCTGGTGCATAACAAACATTTCTTATTATAATCAATGTTAAAACCAGATGTGCTGCTTAAACTTTTTGTTGAAACTGTGATATCATTTTTTTTAGGATTCTCTGATGAATAGAGATTTATTTATTTGAGTTATTTGAGCATATATTTGAAATAAAACTCCTTTGTAACACTATAAATGTGTTTACTGTCACTTTTGATTTAATGCATCTTGCTGAATAAAAGTATTTCCATCCAAAATTAAAAACGGCCCTCAAAATTTTGAATGGTGGTGTAGTTATCATTGTTGGACATAAATGAAAAAATAAAGGTTAACTGATCCTTGTGATTTAAAATTCTGATTGGATGAGCCACTTTCAAACCTGCTGTTAAAAAAAAACCTCACTTTATGATGCACCACTTAAGATCTTCCTCATTTTGACCAGTTTTCTGGTTGTCATACGGCCCAACCTTATCCCAGACCCACCCAGTAAGATGTAATTGTCCAAAAGTAAAATCGTTGGATATCTGGATGTCTAAGGTCTTTTTTTTTGCCAGCCGTAATAAAATGTTTTGCTTTAATTAAATCAGCTTTACAGCCGTCACTGATATCAGCTTGTAGTGCGTCATGTGTTGACTTTCCATGAAGTCAGACTCTGGCTCGAACAATCGCTCTCTCCAGCTTTAATGTTATTTGCTTCATGTTTGACTGATTAGTTTCGTTTGAACTCAAAATATTCCAATTTTCAGTTTCTCTGGGATTTATTTATTTGAGACCTCTTTTAAGCCATTGTGATGTAATTCTCATTGAAACTGGTTAAAATTGTCCATCTATTTATGGACATACAATGTTGTTGTCAGAACAATCGAGGTTAGTGTCCCTGAGAGTACGGCTATATATGAATCCAAGACCATTGTTTGAAGGCTGGAAAAGGCCAGTCATGTTACTGCACTTTATAAATTGAATCAGTTTTTCCCTTCATTGCTGTCCTTTAATATCATTGGCAGAGAGGAGGAGGAGGGAGTATAAGGCAGTCATAAGCGTTTTTATTCTCGTTCAAGTCAATAGGGTGATCATATGATGCTGGAAGTTGAAAATATGATCAGTAGAGGTTGAAAACAACTGGCTGAGGAGGATTGTGGTAAGCCAATAAGGGGTTCACCAGTAGGGAGCAGTACTGATTCTCCATACTGAATCCTGTGTCTATTTGACAACTTGAATGTTTTTGTTAATCAAAACATCGGTTTTCTTGTTGTTTTCATGACCGAAAGTGTACATTTTCACTGCATAACTTGATAAGAACAGCTCTGAATATAGAAAATGTCCTGAACGCTGGAGTGTAAAAGGTTCTAGAGTGCTTATGTTTGGTCAACATGGTGGTACAGCAAAATTTCTTTTGATCAGCACTCTTGAGTCAGGTGTAGAGGTGGTTATCTCTTTCTACCTTTCCACAGCTTTGGAAAGTGCAGGGCACATCCTATATTTCACCACTCCAGTTTTGTCCAGCTGCCTGGAAAGCTTCCGTCCACCCTGCCTGAAGGCTTTTTAATCTCATGAAATCCAATCGCACATGCACAACAGTTCACTGAGAGAAGCAATTTAAGCTTTACGCAATCAGAAAGCATTTTAAGCTCAGTGGACCCGAGGTTGCCCTTACTGACAGATGTGGGACTTTTCCCATCTCGGCCCAGAGTAAATGCTTTCATTACAATGAAACGGTTTAGATTTGTTCTCTCTTTCCAAGCGTCTGCAATTTCTGCCTGTAATCTCAAAGCAGTGAGCATGGAGTGGTTTCGGGCTGACCATTTTACTGAAGTGTCCATGGAATGGTCTGACAGCAATGTAGATCTTGCCTTTCATTATTGTTGTGGTTAAACTAAAGCAAAGGTGGAGCCGAAGTCAATAGCACTGCAGCTGGACAGAGTGTTCCCGTTTATTCACTCGAAAATTGGTTTGTCACAACAATGGTATCAGATTTGGGGTGTAAAATCATATGAATGTTGTCTATGAATGTGCTTCTGCTGAGTATTACACTTGATGTAATATCATGCATACACCATTTGTCCTACAGACATGAATGATACCTTAAAATTGTGCAGCTTGAGTAGAGACTTATTGATGACATGAATGACAAAGCAGGTAAAAAAAACAGAATATCGAATAATATTGGATATAATGTACCAGTCATTTGTCTGTATCTTCCAGCCCTGAAAAGTAATTTTAGTGTGTGGCCTTGAAGGAGTTCAACCAGAAAATTGTTTTCTTCAGTAAGCTTATGAGTTGGACAGAGTAGAAGTTGAAGATTGCTTTTGTTCCTTTTTTACATCCACCTCCAGCTGTTCCAGGAGCCTTCCTCTCTCTCTGCTTTGTTAAATACAAAATGATTGCTTCTAATTTTCTGCTTTTGTTAACTGGTAGGAGAGCGGAGGAACAGCATGTATCTGGCTTTAGAGGACCCATTCACAGCGTCCTTAACAAGCTTTTTAAATCACCATGTTATCGGAATACTTCACCATTCTGGCTTAATTCTGTTAGATGCTCTGTCATCCTTAACTTTGTTTGGCACTGGAATTTTAGGGGGGTTACAGACTTATATAAGGAGGTAATGCTGAGACAGGGGGAGTAATAGTTCAGGAAGACCACTCTGTAAAGCAACACAGTGTTCAAGGATTTCACTTGTAAGTTTCTTGCACTCTTTTTGTCTTGGGTGGTTTTGACAGCATAGCTCTAGGTATGTTTTTTTGATGTTAAATGATTTTGAAAAGGTTATTTCAGAATTTAAAAAATAAAAATGTGGAAAAAGTAGGAGATTCTTTTTTTCATTCAGTAAGACTGATTTGTTGGATGCTGGTTTTGTTGCATGGTAGAGGTGTTAGATTGACTCTACAAATCAGAACGGATTTATTGCAAAGTGAAATTTAATACAATTAACTAATCATTTACCCCAAGATAACCAACTTTTTGCTTGTATCCTTAAAGGATTGAAGTGAATGATACGTTTTCATCAATATTTGATAGTAAAATTGGCTTTTTGTAGAGCAGAACTCTTGTGTGTACCTTCATCTTGTATTAGATATTGAATTAATCTATAAAGCAACTCTGTGTCAGTGTTTTCATTGTATCTCAAATCAGGGGTTTTCACATTAAATCAATGAATAATTGAATAAATATATTGTCATTGTAGTACTAAAGCCAAAATAAATATTTAAAACATTTTCTTAAAAATATTATTCAGAATAATTATTCATAGTTCAAATTTATTTGTATAGTGCTTTTCAGTTTTTTTTCCTCTAAGTTTGAAAATTCATGGCTTAATGAATTCAAGCATTCCTGATGACTGAAAAGGTAACTGTTCAGCAAAATTAAATAACCTGCCAGATAAGCAACTGTATCGATAATGTCATGGGTTTCTATAATGCAAACCACATTTACACTTACCCCATCAAAAAAACGGTTATTAATTGTAATAGTTGCGTGTTTAGGGATTTGAAAAAACCCTTAACCCTATGTATTAAACTTTGGCTCATCTTCTGCCATTTGTGGGCACATATAATATCTCAAATTGTGTGGTTTGTTGAGGGATTGATCAGATGATTTTCACCTGGCAGGCATTAAAGCGTAAAAAGCATGCACCATATGTATTTTTGAGGAGTCCATGTGGAGCTCCAAAAGGGTTTCTTTCACAGCATAAAAGACATGTTGATTTAAAGTTATTCTGTGTTTTACCCCACAGGGAGTTAAACCTGGCAGTTTCGACAAAGTAGCCATTCCAGAGGTGAAAGAGATCATTGAGGGATGTATTCAGCAAAACAAAGATGAAAGGTAAGACTGTGCCTACTACACACGCCCACGCTGTATTCACAGAACTCATTCATCTAGTCATACCTCAGTTCTCAGCGACGTGTGGCATGAGTCTGCCCGCAGATGCGCTGAACTTGTGCTGACGTGAGGGTATATCGCATCCTCTGTGCGCAGTAGCAGCAGATAAGCGGATTCCCACACGCTGTTTTGGAAAGATCCCAGCAACAAGCCACTCAGTGAAACAGATCCGTGATCACGCCAAGCCAGCGAAGAGTGTGCTATGTCCTCGTGCCACAGCAAAACATAAGCCCTGACCAGACTGCCTTCTTTTAAAGTCCTTTTTAGAGCAACTACCTACAGTAAACGTCCAAGTCAAAACCGTGGTTTTGTATTTATATTTTAACTAAAATGTATTTTAAATTACCTTGATCACCATTTGAAGTACTTTTCCTAATTATTCGTGGAAAGTCATAAAGCTGACGTTCTGGTTTGCTTAAATGCATAAAACAGTTAATGGAAAATCACAAACAGCGTGTCGAGCGTAAGGTGAGATGACGTCTGATGTTCCGCTGATGAAGCACTGGAAAAGCTGATGTCTACAGTACCCAGCTAATCAACAGAGCTCACTTAAGGGTTTTTTTCTCCTCAGTGTTAAAGGTCTGTCTTAGTAAAAAAAGATTGTGCATCTTATCTTATCTTTTTACCCTTATATGTATCATTCCATGCAGGTGAAATGGATCAGCTCTTTTTAAATGTTACAGTAGTTGGGCATTTTCTGTACATACTTCCTTGGTGGTTTAATGCGCTGGTCTGTGCTAATCTTATTCAGAGTCCTTGTTAAATATTCATAGATTCCCTCTGATGTCTCCTGTTTTTTAGGTGATGAGTTGTTGAGTTGTGAATGGACAATGAGTTTGTTCAATAAAATTGTAATGCAACAGGATAGAATGTTGCATAGATTGTTTATCACCACACGGTCTGGGGATGATAAAATTAAATTCATGCGACATCACCATAGAATGCATCACCAAGTTATCTAACTTCTGAAACCCATTAAAGATCAATTAGATCATGATACAATCAAATTCAAGGCCTCAGGTCCTCTATATTTCAAATTTATTTGGCTTGTCTTCACTTACTCTGAATCAACCCATTCAGTGACTTTTTTTTTTTTTTTTTCAATCCTGGAAAACCCCAATGTTCCACCTTGTGCCTCTAAATCAGTTTAAATGTGATTGGCTGATCTTTTTTTAGCCATGTGCTTCTGCATTTGTTTATTTTATTGATCGGCTATCCTTATTTAACGTATTTTGCCTTGTTTGCTTGTAAAGTGAATTTTGCCCCTTCCTCAACAGATACGCCATCAAGGACCTTTTGAACCATGCCTTCTTCCAGGAGGAGACTGGGGTGCGGGTGGAGCTGGCTGAGGAAGATGATGGGGAGATGATCGCCATCAAGCTCTGGTTGCGCATTGAAGATGTCAAGAAACTGAAAGGCAAATACAAAGACAATGAAGCCATTGAGTTCTCTTTCGACCTCCATCGAGATGTCCCAGAAGATGTGGCTCAGGAAATGGTGGGTTTATCAACGAGTTTCTGAATCTGAGTTGCACACAGAGATGGTAACATATGCTGTGTTGGAATGCAGGTTGAGTCGGGCTATGTTTGCGAGGGTGACCACAAAACCATGGCGAAGGCCATCAGGGACCGTGTGTCTCTGATCTGCCGCAAACGAGAGCAACGGCAGCAGGTGCGAGCAGAGCAAGAGAAACGCAAGCAAGAGGAAGAGCAGAAGCAGTTGTCCAGCGAGTCGTTGAAGAACGTGGTCGGCCCTCAAGGAACTCAAGGTTCTGCGCAGAGTCAGTGCGGTTCCCAGCCTCCAACTCCTGGCTTTGTCCAGCCCGAGTGTGAGGAGCCCGATGCAGACCAGCAGCTTCAGTACATGCAAAGTGGAATGACCTGTAAGTGTTAGATACAACCCATCTGGATTGATTTAAATGTCATTCCTATTTATTTATGAATGTCATATCTTTTCCCAGCGGCTGACGTGACGCTTGAGAGTGGTCAGGGTTCATCTGTGTTCTCAGAACCTCACCTCAGCCAGCTAAGCATGTCGTTTAGTTCTCCTGCAACGTCGCAACAGCAGCAGGTGCCTGGACAGGGCGCCTACCCTCCCAGCTCTCAAGCTCCCCAACAGCACACCGGATACCCCCAGCAGCCCATGGTAAGTCCCAGAAAATGAAGGGCCAAGTCAAGAACTCACCACCTAACTGAGATCAAAGCAGGTCACATATTTGCGTCCTTAATCTGCTCCTGTGAGGCCGTTTTATGAAGCTACCGCCTACTGACGAATTCCAAACTTCTTATGTTACAATATTCCATTAGCAATTTTCCAACCAAAACAGTGAACACCACAAAACTTCTCAAAAATGTCACTGTTGCACAAAGCTGTTGAAGTGCAGAAAGCAGATATTCTCATTAGGTGCAGGAAAAGTCAAAGCAGCTTTGAAATTGGGCCTAAAATAGTGGCTCTCAACCTTTTTGACTCAAAGGCCACCCATTGTCCAATACAATATTCAATGGATTTTTGTTATTTCTGCTGTAATTATGACAAAGCTGCTTGTTTTCTAACATTATTTATTAACTTAAATTGAGTATTAATATATTAAATTAATTACACACAATTAATTTAGTTATTCCTGAAGTTTCAAGAATTGTGTGTTATTTAATTAAAAACAATATTTATTAAAGGGGAAAAAAAGAAATGTTCAGTTTATACAGTTTACATCTTGATTTTATGTTTATGTGTCTCTGTCTTTTCACTGGTTGTTACAGAATATTTGTTAATGTTTGAATAGAAAATTAAATAAACATTTAAATAGAGAAATAAAGATTAGAAATATATATATATATATATATATATATATATATATATATATATATATATATATAATAAAAGTATACAAAAAGAAATGGAAATAAACAGTATATCAGGCTTAAAATTAGAAGAGCATGTTTAAATATAAAAATAATGAGTAAATTAAAATCACAATGACAACACAATGGAAAACAAGAAACTGAGTCTTTAAATGCGCTCAGGAAAACCTGGCCTTATTATTGACAGGTTAATTCAGAATCATGTGGCCATATGTTTACCTTCAATCTCTTTAGTTTAAATGTCTGCATCAGTTTCCATAATTTTTCATCCTGTACAAAGGTAAGCTAATGAAGCAATACGGAGATGAGCATCATGTAGCCTTGATTGAGTAACAAATGAATTATGAATTAATGATCAGTTGTTGTTGTTTGACATTTGAATATGATTTATTTGTAGTTGCATGTGTTTAGAGTTTAATGATCGTTTGTTATTATCAGACACTAAATGAATGATGCATGAGAATGGAGACCAAAGCCATAACGTCTACACTCTCAATGGGTTTGATTCCTTTCATACAGCCTTCTCCTCTCTCTCTCTCTCTCTCTCTCTCTCTCTCTCTCTCTCTCTCTCTCTCTCTCTCTCTCTCTCTCTCTCTCTCTCTCTCTCTCTCTCTCTCTCTCTCTCTCTCTCTCTCTCTCTCTTTTTTCTGACTGCCGAATGTATTTCCACCCCCCACGTGTATTTGAGCTGCCACTCCCGCTTCACCCACTATGCGTTTAAGTACATTATTTAGGTTACTTTACCTTATTTGTTTTTGTTTGTTTCATATCAGTATGTTTAATTCATCTCAAAAAGGCAGTGCCATGTTCTGTAGCAGTATACCATGCTGTGCAGACTGGTAGGCCTCCATCACTTCTTGTTTCTCTTTAGTGTCAAGCTGTATGATGTCCTGACATCCTGGGCACTTAAACCATGATCAGTTTGGCTCATCAGTGTCAAGGCATGCATAGATCTTTCTCAGGGAATTTGATTTTTTTTTTTTTTTTTTAGTTTCTCATCTCTTCTCACTCATTAGTTTTGAATTATTTTGCATCATTTTCCATAGAGCCTGACATACTTTAGTCATAAGCACACACCTTTATCTCTCTTTATTACTCTAATTCTCTCTGGTTATAGCTTCTAATGATTTATTTTATAACACAGTTTTTTATAAATAAATACAGTCTTATCTGACTTTGACTTGGAATGGTTGCTTATTTGTTAAGACTCAAAGTGATATTAGAAGTCTGCATGGCACTGATGACTGTTATTTTACTTTTATTTTTGTTCTTCTGTTTTTATACACAGTATGCTGTTTGTGGTCTTTGTTTTTACTGTATATATTCTCTACATACTTCTGTTTATGTTGTTCTTTATCATAAAAAAAATCTTAGAAGATGGATTTGGATGGATTTTCTGTGATGTTTTCATGGACTTTGCTAACATACATTGCAAACATGCAGTTTGCGACTACATAGTAGACTGTCTATGCTGTAGATTGTGATTTCTGAATGCTTCTTAAGCAATGACAATCTGCAACAAAATCTGCTCGCAATTCATGAATCAGGTTTTGGTATTCTGTCACATGCAATCAATTCATAGCATAAATGTTTCTGGTAACGTGTTGGTCATCGTAAAAAGATTTTTTTTTTTTTAAACATCATGAATCATCGATTGAACAAGGCTCATTCTTTTTGTCTTACTCGACAGCAGATTTGAACCTTTGTAGGTCAAGATTTATTGTAGATCAATGTCGTTCTTTTTCTGCCTATCATCCTAGAATGTGATGTTGTTATTTAATCTTGTATCAAATGTTTCTTTATAGTTTCCTTTTGGTTATTTGGCTTTTGTTCTTTTTGTGTCATTTGTGTTCCATTGTGGTTAATAGACAATTCCCCTCCTTCGTCTCCAGCCTCTTCAACCTCTCCCCCGTCGTCGTGGTCGTAGCATGTCTGTTTGCGTGCCCTGCTTTTCTACTACTTCTGCTCTGTCGTGCCCTCCCAAGCCACCTTCCACCCCTCCTCCAGTCGCATCAGCCCCACTCTCACCCCGGCTGGGGAGGCCAGATGGGGAGACGTTTGCGGGTCGATTGTCTAAAGCACTGGAGAGCGTCCTGCCCCTTCACTCGGCCCCACCCCGTCGCCGTGCCAGCCTCCCAGCAATCTTTGCCAGTCCTGTATGTTAGTGTCTCCCAGTGAACCAGGGTTCTCCCACTGAGCTGGACTTGGGTACAACCCGGGTATCTGTAAAGAATAATTCTATAAGAAGAAGAAAAGCCAATGTAATCTAAAAATTGATGCAATATAATTTAATTGTGGTTAGGGCAAATGTTCACATCCCTAATATCAAAAGAAACACCAAAGGTGTGATCTAAAAAACGTAAATGGCAACTTAATACATTATTAAATCAAAGTGTGCTATTCAGAATCCAAGAACATTGTATTTAAACCCAACTATCTCATAATGCCAAGCTATATCACACTGTTAACACAAAAACTATTATTGGACTTAAAAATGCACACAACAGCCATTTTTCAAACTGCCTAGTCCCAAATCATAAGAGCAATTTTACAAATTAGCCGCTGTGTACTGAATGACAAGTGTAAATAGCTTATTTATATCTCCATTTTGTAAGTTAAAGGCTCAGGGTTGCTTTTTTACTGACTACAGGCCAATCTTAAAACCCCTTTCAAATACCCATGTTACCCTGGCCCACTCCGTTGGAACCCTGTGCTCACATTAAATACAGATTGCCATGAACTGCAATCATTAAAAATAGTTCCTTGGCCCCACAGTCTGTGAAGCATCTGTATTTAATTGAAATCTGTCGCTGTCATGTTTCTACAACTCATTAAGCATTTAAACATCTCTTGATTTATTCTATTGTCATTGAGACATCTTTGCCTAATGGGATGAATATTATCTGCTGTTTTTTCACTTGTTATCTTTTTATTTTCTCTCTCTCTTTCTGTTTTTCTTCTTGCTTTGTGAATTTTATGATGCTGCCTTTTCTACTTCCTCACAAAGATGCTGTATGTTATTGTCACTGCAGCCACAATCAGTGAGTCAGCCGTACGGTGGAGGAGGCTCAGGTCTGGTCGAGCCCCCGCTCTTTTTCCCCACCATCCCGGAACGGCCCGTCTCATTCTCCCCTCCGCCATCTTGCACGCCTAAAGCTTTTAATGTCCAGAGACGCAAGAGCACCTCCATCCTAGAGGCCCACACTCGTCACTTCCAGCCCGCCTTCCACCGTAGCTACGGCAGCAGCCTGCACCCGTTCTCTGGCGTGGAGGCCCTTGGTGTCGGCGTCGAACCCGCCCTGTTCATGATGCCCGGGATAGCAGCTCAAAGATTGGCTGAGCCACTCCACTTACAGCCCCCAGCGGAGTCGCTATATGGATATAAGGATATGAGGGCTGAGCAAGAGGAAACTGTACGCAGACTCAGCCTCAACCAGGCTGCATTAATGGACCATCTTGAAGCCATGGCCTACGGTGGCTACCCTATGACTGCACATCAGATAAGCCAGATCACCTTCCATCAGCAAATGCAAGCTGCTGCCGCCAGCTTGGCATATGAGACTCAGTCACAGCCTGGGACAGCTTACCTACACCCTCATGTCCAAAGCCACATGCGCTTAACCCACAGCCCTATTCCGCAACTACCTACCATGAGTGTGTCTAGCTCCGCCTCTGCGCCCCAGCAAACCGCACCTGCAGATCCAGGCTATCAGCCCCACTCGTTTCCCCATTCCGCACCACCTGTGCTGGCTCATGCATCCGAGCCGAGCACCACCTTTGAATTCCAAATGCACAACCTACAGGCTGACCCAGCAATGTTGGCATCAAGACTCTACCGAGCCCGTAGGGGCTCCATGGACCTTAACCTGGAGGAAGCGGCTGGAAACCCGGGATTGTGCAGTCGATTGCAGCCCGTCACTGAAGAACTGTACAGCTATGTGAGCCCGGAGCTGCCCCTTCCTCCAGGCAGCCTGCTTCTCCATGGACCTAAAGAGCTCAGTCCTGAGCCTTCAAGCGACTCCATGACCTCCTCCGATGCTGGGGAGTTCTACTCGCCTCCGCCTCATCAATTGTACCAACCCCAAGACTGTTCTGCTGCTCAATCCATCCCACAAACTTCTTACTACAAAACAGATGGAGGGAGCAATGTCAGCGACGGACACCCACCCAGTCAACCGATGTTTCTATTTGTTCCACCCTCTGAAGCGTCCGCTGTTCCATCTTCACACATCAGTGCTCTGCACAGTACCTGGGCTCGTCAACCATCTCTTCCACTGGACATCACATACCACGAGCCTGCCTTGTCCCATCAGGGAGCTACCTTGGTACCTAGAAATACTTGTTCTCGTCCACCTTTCCCAAGCCCTCCCTGTCTCTCTCTCAGTTACCTGATTTTTTTTGTCCCGTGGTTGTGGTTTTAACCCTCTCCAGCCATTTTTTAGGGCTCAAAAAGGTTCACATGGTGCATTGAGCAAAAAATGCATAAACCTGCTTTTTAAATCCCCTTGTACTAAGACATTTATGTATCTTCCATTAGACAGTGTGATTTGTTTTATTTCCATTTATTTTCATTTTAGATGCCCGTTGTAAGTATTATTTTGTGTGTATGTTCATATAATGGTGTATATGATACTTGTGTGTTTGTACAGATATCATGTAAAACTACTTATCTGTACATGACATACGAATCTGAAATTTAGTTTGCCTCATTCAAATTTATTTATTGATAAAGACCAACATAAAATAGTGGAAATATCTGTTTTTAAAGGATTGGAAGATAGATACTTCACTTGTAAAAAGAGGCTTGAATGCAGGATTTGTATGACCAAACACACAGACACATACAACACAAACAGGGGGTTTAGACAGGTTTGCTTGTCTCTTTAAGGTACCTATAATCTTGCTTTTAATGTTTCTTAAAAAAAAAAAAAAATCATGTTTTTTTTTTTTTTGGTTGTATTTTACCTTAACAACTGTTTTTTAGATCTTCTGCTACATTATAGTTGGCTGGAAATGGTTAAAACAGTTGCCTTTGATTTTCAATTTTGTCTTTGTCGAGGAAACAGCTTGTGATACAGCCTCAGTAGAGAACTACCTGCACATGAACCCAACATTTGTTGGCTACTTTTAGGACATTTAACTTCAAAAGCTGAGAAGTCATCTTTTAACCCTTAGAAGGCTGGCATTATCAATGTCATCCTGCAGTCCCATTCTCCGTCCCTATTTTATACACCTTTTCTGCCTCACTTTATCTTTTATACCACTGTTATTTTCATCCTCTTATCTGCCAAGGCTTCTTATTTCCTACTGCTCTCTAAGCCTCTTGCTAATAATGAATACATTCTTCAGTGTAATGCCAAGGTAAGGTGATCTACGTCTGGAGCAACTATACTTGTCTGTACCTCGTAGAAGAGAAATTGAAGGACAAGTATACTTGTAGCTTTCTAAGGGTTGCTTCTGTTGAAACTCTCCGTGTGGAGGGGAAAGTGGTCAAATCAAGCAGTGTTAGTGGTCAGGTCTATTTTATCAGACGCTTCCCTGGTTATACAAACAACTCCATATGCTTCCCTGAGCTTTTTTTTTTTTTTATAACATTCACCCAAGTTACAGAATCATGTAGTGTCACATGCATGAAGCCTACTCACTCCCCGGCTAACACCTGATGTTTGTTTGTTGTTTGATCGTGAGATGTGAGGCATACACAAAAAGTGAATAGTGACCTGAGTGCATTGCTCAGTGTTCACATTTTGTGTATGAATGGTCAGTATTTGAAAGTCATTTTTTGTTTTTACTGTAGCCACCAACATGTTTTGACTTTGTCTTTTTTTTTTTCATTTCTCCACCACTGCCATATCTCTTTTTCTCTCTGTTTCTCTCTCACTTTCTCGCCTGCCCCCATATTCCTCTTCATATTCGTAACAGGTGCAGGTCCCCATCTCTCAGTCTACAAATGCCATGTCTATGGTTTCCTGCAGCACCCCAACAGCCGCCTCTGCTTCTCAACAGGTAAGATCAATGACCAATCAGAATCACCTTCCCCCCTTTCATTAGCATAAATGGAGCTTCAATATTGGCCAAGAGACCTTTTTGAGTTTTATTTTTGTTGGTTTGAATCTCTCTGGATTCTCTCCTGCGTGTGAAAGCTGTGGACATCAGAGGTGGCTTTCTCTTATGCTGTGTTGTATTTGTTTCTTATAGTATGGAGTTTACTACGTCCAAGCACTCCCTACGCAGGTAGAGAAAAACCCCATTCCTCTCTTTCTCTCTCTCTGCTTCTTTTACTTTTTCTCTCTCCCTCTTTCTCACATTTACTGACCTTTCTTTTTGAACTCTTTGCCTTGTCCACTTTAGTTTTGTCATTTCATTATTGCATAATGAGGTATTTAAAATAAAATGTAGTTCTGTAAGGCTTGGAAAGGAAGCTTGTCAATGTGAGTATTATCACATCTTGAAACCCATATCAAGATCAGTTACTGTAGTAATTGAATTGAATTTAAATTATGATTTAGTGTTTGTATGTTGAGTTGTTTTCCAAAGGTAAGTTATTTAAAGTTTTTTTTTTTTTATAAATATATAGAAATGTTCTAGTTTTAGCAATATGGACAGCATCTGTTGATGATTACCACAGACCATAGTTTTGTCCTTTAGTTTGTGAAGACAAACATTTAATTTGCAGTAATGCCCTTGATTACAATGACAGTCTATGGGGCAAGATATTCCGGAGGGTTTTTGTAGGTGCTTATTTTAGTGTTGGAAATGATGTTCTAGGCGGTTGAACACTTTGTTATGTGTTACTGTATTGCTCTCGTGTGTAATGCCTTTCTCCATCGACTTGCATGTCAAGTGCATTGCTGTAAATGAAAATGTAAATGTTTTGTTCGTTTTTACAAACTAAAGGATGAGTCAAAATTATTTTCTATCTTGGGCATGCTGTCTATAGAGTTAATTTCAACCTAGTCCTTTCCTTTAAGTCACATGATGAGCTGATGGGATGAGTTGGTTGAGACCAGACTGTATGTGATGTTATCCTAAAATGTACTCGTTTTCCAAGACTTGGTGTTTCCAAAGAGCCTCCGAGCCTAATATCAAGAGGTGAAGTAAATGCTTCATGTGAGAATGCTTATTCTCTTTTTAGGCTGCTGTTCCGCAACAGGGCTCTCTGGTGCTGACATCCCAACCGGGTGTCTCGCTACCCCAACAGCCTCCCAGCAGTGTAGTTCAGAGCGGCTCTCAGACGCAGGTCCAGCCCGGCCCCCAGCCCACACAGGTACAATCAAATGTGTTGTGAGCAAATCAAGATAGAAGCCAACATAAAATAAAACAAAATCATCATAATTCAATTTTATATGAAAACAGTGAAGTTAAAAGATTTCTACTGGAACAATTTCTGAAACGTTTATTCTTTCAAAATGTATTATTTTACATTACTACTGAAACATTATTATATTTAATGTATAATATTTATTATTATATTATTTATATATATATATTTATTTATTTTATATATTCCCTATATATTTATATTCCCTCGTCTATATATTATATGTGTATCTTTCTGCTCTCTGGAACATTACAAATCACATTTGTAGAGAAGTAAATTAGGTTGTGTATGCATTCATGTTGACTTTAAATATGGTAAATTACTGCGCAGAGGTTTGTCTTTCTGTTATACTTTCCCTCTTTTTCTGTGTCGAAACACTGGCTGTCTCTTTCTGAAGTGCCTCAGCTCTGCTTGCCTTTTGATTGATTGATGTTTTCTGGCATGTTTCTGCCTGTTTGTTGCATGGTTGTCAGTTGCGTTGTAGTGAGATGAGTCCCTCTCTTCGGTTCCCAATGTTTAGGGCAGATCAATTGTTTTTCCTTTAGCTGGAAGTGCAGATACACTGTAGTGGCACAAAAAAGTTGTTTACTTGTGGTTGATCTACTTCAGTTGCAAATAACTAAACTGGGTTATATATATTTGATGTGGTGTTGGATTTGGATTTTGTTTTGAGTGTGTTGTTGATAGTGACAGCGTTTATAGGCACTTAGAGAGGAGCCACTCCTAACTTAATCTAATAACCATTTGGCACTAAAACTATAGTTTGTTTTTCATGTGTGTTTAGCTTGCGGTTGTTGTGATCCTCCTTTCACCCTGTGGCATGTGGTCTGATCTTGTGATTGTTTTCCTGCGGTTCATTAAGACATCGCTGCTCTCACACGTAAACTGGCCTTGCCGTCTCCATCTTCACCGGTCGGTGCTTGCAGACGTATTTCCCTCGTTCTCCATATTCCCAACCACTGATCTGACCCAGCTACCCCTCTCCCACCTCCCCTCAGCTTTGCAGTGCGGCTCTCTGCTTGCCAACTATAGCAGTTGCCCCGTTTTCGCAGCAACCAGTGCCTGAAGCACTGATGTGCCCGGCAGCCGTGTCTGCGCCAGCCATGTCCCCGTCAGTGCTGCTGCCCCATCTACCCCAATTGGTACCACCTCTAGTGACACCTGTGCCAACCATCCATGTGGCCACAGTCCCCTCCCCAACCGAACATCCATGTTTGCCAGCCAACACCCCAGTGCAGGTACCTGGATAGGACCGAACTGGCCCCAAACGCATCAGTGCAGGCAGTTTTTGCTTGCTTTATAGGAAAAGCTTTTGTTTTGACATTTCATACTTCTTGTTATCTCTGTCTGTCTGTGAAGCATAGCTGCTAAGCTGTCTTCACACAGCGTCCTTTCTTTTCTTGGCTGTGAAATAAGACCTTTTTTTTTTAAACACAATAAAAAACATTCAGGCTGCAGTTGTGCTTTTTATTTAGATATGCATTTTGTTATGTCTTTTATGTTTAGATTGTTTGTTTGTCTCTTTCTATTATAATTCCTTTTGTTTTTGCTATTTGCTGTTCCAGACATCGCATAGCACCTCTCAGACTTTGACAACCGAGCTGTCACAACTCCAAACTCCTGCTGTGGAGAGGTAAGAATTACTATTTAGCAGTGGAAAACGCAGTACAATAGATCCAGAATACATTGGGCTGCATTACTGAAGTCATCGTGTGTTTTAATTTCTTTTTTCCCCTTAGCTGTCATTCTGATGTGGCATCTGGGCTCAGTGATGGCAATGAAGGCGTAACGGGTGGCAGGCATGAGGGTCGTTCTGCCAAACGTCACCAGCGCAGATCAGTTCGCAGCCGTTCACGCCATGAAAAGACCTCTAAGGCCAAGCTCAATGTACTTAATGTACGTCCAATGCATTGACATTTTTCTTTTATTGTTACTTTATTGGTTTTGATGGTGGTGGAAAAACTAAAGACATTGAACAAACATCTCTCATGTATGTTTCAGATCTCCAGCATGGGCGATAGAGTTGCAGAGTGTCAATTAGAAACGCACAACAGGAAAATGGTGACTTTCAAGTTTGATCTTGATGGTGATAACCCAGAGGAAATTGCACAGATAATGGTAACTTGAAACACCATCCCTGCATGTTTTTATTACTGACCAGATATGCTAATTAAATTATTTCTTTTGATCTTGATCTATGTGGAAAAAAGCTGGTGTTGAATAAAATATTTCTGTTGCCAAAATACACTTTGAACTGCCAAAACTCATTAATAAGAGGTATTATTTCCTTCATGTTAGGTACAAAGTGAGTTCATTCTAGAGACTGAGCGTGAGTCCTTCATTGATCAGATCCGAGAGGTCATAGAAACAGCCGATGAGAAAGGTGTTGAGAGGGAGCGCAGCCAGGTACGTCCTTCTAAAAAGCTTCACACCCTATAGTTTTACACCCAGTATTTCCATGCCTAGCAGTGAATAAAATTGCCATTTGCAGAAAGTATAGAAAAGCTTGCATGGAAGACCATGTATACAAATCGGGTATTAAAAAAAACAACTTTTTCAACAAAATATTAGTGAAATCAGAAAATGATCAACAAAATGGTTAGATTAATTATTAGTTTATGTGCTTTTTTATTTTACATTTATTTTGTACAAGGTACATTTTTGGGTGGTTTTTGTTATTTTCTAGCTTTAAATTAAACATTAATGTGTTTAAAAATAGCTACTTTTCATGATATGTCCGTTTTATGTTCGATAATATTTAATATCTGTCATATGTAATAAGTGAAACATCAAATCTTTTTTATTGCCATTTAAACAGAGCAATAGGACATCACTTTGTACTCTCTGTGTAGAAGTTGAAATTATTTGAGTGAAATTGTAACATCACAGTTAACAATATCTTACAGATGGTCAGTGATCACGAGCAGCATAAGCCCACCACATCAGTGCCACAAGGTAGAGCTTACGCATGTAAAGCAAGTTGATGTCACCTGTTAATGTATCAGTACTGAGGTCTTCTCTCCTCCACTTTTTCTCCCAGGTGTGGCGCCTAGTTCAGCCGCCCAGGTGGTGCACTCCGCAGGCCGCAGGTTTATCGTCAGTCCAGTGCCTGAATCTAGACTGAAGGATCAGTTCTTTAGTGCACCCCCACCCACAATCCCTCTTCGGGAAGAACCTTTATCCTGTGAGTTTAATATGTAAAAATACTTATACAGGTTAAATTGTGTCATAAAAAGGCATAATATCCATTAGATGTATCTTGTTTTTTAGATTAGCAGTTTTTATTGATTCTTATAAAAATACTGAATAATACATTTGTACAGTGTATTACAGTGTAGAATCCCTTTTTGATTGTCTCTTACTATAATGTCTGCTCTCATACCCAATACAAATAGCCTAGACAAATGATGTAACCGCATACTAATTTTTGTCTTGAATTTCTATTCCTTATCAGCTGTGTCAGTTGCAGTGCCTGTCTTGGGGCTTTCTGTGTCTGCGTCTGCAGTCAGTCTGCAGCAGGCATTCTCTGAGATGCGGCAAGGCCGGTTCGACCCGGGTCCCAGCACTGCGCCACCAATGCTCCATGTCTCCATGCCCCCTCTGGTTCCTGCCGCAACACCCTTGCCCTCTAGCACCGCCCCTGTTGTCCCTCCCCCAGTTTCTTCTGAAGTGACCGCTTCACCATCTCTACCCTCTGTCTCCTTAAACCCTCCAGGGTCATCGTCTCCTCCTCCTACCCTTCCCACCTCTGCAGTCACTTCCCCTCCATCCCATTCACAAATCCCCCTGCCTCAAAGTCAGGTTGTACCTGCCATCATCAGTGTTATTTCCACCCCTTCCTCTCTGCCAATGCCACCTGTGCCTGCCGCCACACCATTCCCCCAGACCTCAGTCTCTATGCCTGTACCTGCTAGCACTGCTGCCCCACTCACTCACCCTGCGGCTCCTATGGGATGTGGTAGTGGCGAACAGCCATCCATCCCCTCGACTTCAGCTCAGCTCACACCAGCCGCCATCCCAACGCCGCAGCTCGCACCGTCCACCATCCCCGACACTGTTACTCCCATCTCTGGAGCTCTGACACCCGTGCACAGCCAGCCTCAGACCTCCACTGTGGCCAATCAGAGTCACGCACAATGTGTGGAATGTGACAGTGACCCGCAGGGAAAAGGCGTCGATGACATCCAGGCTTTGGATAAGAAGCTGCGGTCACTCTTCATGGACCTGGGCTCTGGTCTGCCCTCTGCCCAATCTGATGTCACATCTGACCCCATGGCTGCCCCAAGTGTTCCTGGCACCTCCTCTCCAACTGCCTGCTCCACCCCAAGTGGCACCCCTCTCCCTCCCTCTAGTTTACCCCTCAACTCCTCCGGTCAGCCCACGGGCTCTCCAATGACCTCCATGGGCAATGGCTCCACCCCAGTCGGCTACAGTCAGACGACTCCATCCAAAGCGCCGCTATCAAGACTACCGGTGAGTGACCGGTTGATCAACAGTCATGAAAATAATGTCACAATGCAAATAAGCTAAAGTTTGACATCATGAGACATGGTTAAAACACTTTTCTTATTTTTAACATCACATTTAACCACCTTTTCTCAATCCTCTAACTACTCTATAGAAAAACTGGATGATTTTGTGATGTTTTTAAACCCAATTTCTGCATGGCTGTTTAGTTTCATGACTGACAAAATGCATGACATAGTAATCCTACATGAATACTATATAACTCAACTGACACTTTTCTGTAATATTACAACCAAGCTCTAGTCATATTTTGTGTACAGCTTTGAATAATTCCCAAACATAACACACAGTCTTAGGATGCTTGTGGCGGTTCATCGGCACCTCTGCCAGCTTTCATTCTTTACAGTGCTTTAGTTTCTCTTCCGTCTTCATTCATTAGGTGTTGCCTGTCGGCCCAGATCAGGCTGGCACGCCGCCCACAGAGCACCTACCACCCTTCCCAGGACCTTGTTTAACTCAGGTGCCCTTTTCTTCTTTCTCTTTCTGTCTCACTCTTTTTTTATATAGTTTCATTCCTGTAAAACACACAGAGCATGAGTAAAGATTTTTAATCGCATAAGAATCAAACCGCTGCATGGCATTGCTTTCCTTTGAGGCCTGTTAGGAGCATGACCTGTGACACTCATTAACTCTGACTTGCTGCTCTTTCTCTTTTTCTCTGCCGTAGACGGGTGGAGAACAGGAAAGATGTGATTTTAAGAAAACAACATCAGACATGAAACATTTTCAGTGTGTTTTGTCTAATGTTCTGGTTTTATTGGGACTGTAATAAAAACCGCAAACTCATTTGTTAATAATAATTATTTTATGAAAGGTAGAAAAGGGAATCTAAAGGGCGGTGCTTTTCTGTCCCCTTGTAAGATTTGAAAGAAAAAGCTGTTTTACAATTTCAGTCATTGTAGTTTGATTGAGTATATTACATTTGCTTTAAACTTTTTTTATTGTCTCTTAAATAATTTTTCCTTATTTTTACATGTTAATTTTGCCCTTTGTTTTGTTTTTAACTTGTCCTCTACCTAGATTTTCTGACTTCCCCTTTTTTAATTAAATTTGAGGATTTCAAGTAATCAAAAGTGGCTCTAATCAAACAATCACCCCTACATTTTTATCATGTCATTTTGATCTTTTAGCATGTTGTGGATTGATTAATTGAGAATAGTCTGAAATCGAAATTCAAGTAATTTAGACGTTATATAACATATTTTCATCGCTCCAAATTGAACCCTGCTCGCATTCACGTCATACTCAAAGAAAGTCCTTCCCTTCTGCTTAAGGCGATTCATACTAAATGTAAGAGACTTTTTCTAATCCTGTAAATTGAATGCGATATTTTTCATCCATCACTTTTGAATTGAAAACTTACTTTGATGGCACTCAGCCGCGAGCCAACCTGAACAAAACATTTCAGGAACCGCAGAGCGCGGGCCAATTAAAGGATTTACTCTCCATTTCATGTGGAACATGAAAGGAAGCCTCAGCTTGGATTAAAAGCATTCAGTTCTTCCAGGCAGTGGTCATCTGACCCTTTACTTACTGTAAGAGATCGTCTCATGCAGAAATTAATTAGATACACAGTTCCCCTGCTGTATTTGTGTGCACTTGCCATGAGTAATAAGTGTTTGTACGAGCCTGTGTGTGTGTATACAGTATTTCTTGGGGCTAAGTGAACCTGACTAATTGCTGAAATGGATTATTTAGTCCCAGCAGCCCCTGGAGGATCTAGATGCCCAGCTGAGACGGGCACTGAGTCCAGAGACCGTCCCAATCAGCAATGTCACGCACCAGGTACACGCACACCAACAGGGAACTGGCCGAAAAACTCCAGCACACTTGTATTAAGTGCCAGATCTGTCTGATTTAATTTATTGCAGTTAAACTTTGGCACTGGAACTTTCCATACACAAAGAACAGATACAAGAAATGGTTTTTAAATCCCATACAGCAATAAACCAGAGGATTACCTCCTCAAATCTTAAGTGTAACAGAGAAAGCATGTAACTTTTTGCTTCTAAGAGGAATAATTTATATAAATCATTTAAAATCACCCTTTTTAATTTGAATGTATATATATATATGTATGCAACTAAATTAAGAGAGCTATTTTTATATATATATATATGTACACCATTTTATATTTCTTTTCAATTGTATTTTAAATTCTTTTGTAAATACATTTTGAATAATTTATATTGTTTATTTATTTTATTTTATGTAATTTATTTACGTGTCTGTATTCTGATTCACATCTTTTTCTTACCTGTAGTCATCTCTTACTGGGATGCCAGCTGGAGGACAGCCAGGTATGTGCTGAGGTTTTAGTTTACTTTTACCTGTTCTTTAAATGCACAACAGCTAGCAAAAAGCTTCAACTCTGCTTATTAATGATGATACCATTTCAGTTCCGTTTTCTCTGGATGATGAGCAAGCAGCTGCACCTACAGTAGGAGGTTACAAACTGGGACGATTCCAGGTACTTTGTATTCGCAATGTGATGACAAGAATGGGATGTTCATAGTCAAGTCACCTGTATTTATATAGCGCTTTATACAAAACAGGTTTTTCAAAGCAGCTTTACAGTGATAACTGATGCATTGATGCAAACAGATCATTTCAGCTGTACAGCAGCTCTAAAAGAAAATAGTGTCATTGTTCAGTTCAGTGTTAATTCAGTTACATTGTAAAGATTATCAATTATTAAATTAGTTCATTTCATCTATAAAGCAGTTCTGCAGAAAAACAGTGATGTCATCGTCCAGCTCAGTTCATTTCTCATCCAATAGTGTCAGTGCATAATATTTTATGGTATAAAATAGTGTTTGTCATGGTGTTTGTGTATGACACTCTTGTTCTCTCTCTCGTTCAGGTGTCAGTGACTCCTGATGAGAACGCCTCGCAAGCTCACACAGGCTCCTTTGACTCATCCTCCACGTCGTCTTCCTCCACCACCTCCTCCTCTTCATCTTCATCCTCCCCTCTCTCTAGCCCCGAAAACACACTGCACCGTACCTCCTCTCCCCTCAGAGACACGAGAACAGATGTTGTCGACGGCCTCCCTGCTCTTCCCAACCGGATGGCAACCCACCCTCAGCCCACCACCATTGGCCGTTTCCAGGTCACCACCAAAACGGACACAAAGGTGGGGCGTTTCTCAGTGAGCAGCGCACAGGACGAGGCCCTAGCAGCTAGCTTACAACCCCCAGAACCCCAGCCAGCACCTCAAGCCCATCCAGCCGTGGGCAACGGTCCAGCCCAGAGTCCCGGGAGCCTCAACAACTCTGTCAGCTCCTACTTCAGCAGCGACAATGACTCTGAGTTTGAAGATGATGATTTTAAGAGAGAAGTCAGCAAGCTGAGGGAGAAGTATGTTTGTTTTTGATTAAGACATTGTAACATGATCTGGGACGGTGTAACCTAGGTGAAAGATATGCAGTGTAATTGTGCTTTCCATGTTTTTCTCCCAGGCACATGATAGAGAGTCAGGCCCTGTACACTCGGCAGAAGGCAGAGATTGATTCCCTTTTTGCCCGATTGGGCAAAGTTCCACCCGCCATGGTCAACCCACCCTTGGTGAACCCAGCTGGCCGTAGACGGCGTCCCACCAAGAGCAAAAGCAGCAAATCCAGCCGCGGTAGCTCCCAGGGCAGCAAGAGTCCTGTACAGCCAGGTATTCACCTTTTCCATTTTGCCTTTTTTGGGCAGATCAATTGACAATGTTTTTTGGGAATACAAAATATCGTTAAGATCGTTCTTATCTTTTTTTAGTAAAAAGACAAACCTTAAAAATAATTTTGTAAATAACCTGTTAACCCTTAAACAGGCAAGAGTGGAAAATGATCAGCAATCATTTCATTATATCATCTGGACTTAAGTCAAACATATGCAAAGGAATTTTTTTAATATTTGATACATTTTGGATTTTATGAGTTGTATCTCCCAGGATACGTTGCCCTATTAGGGTATAAGTCATCAATATTTCTATGATTTATTCGATGCAAAAAATGTTTTATATGCAAACTATACTGCATTTATGACAAGTCTAAGTGTCCAAAAATTGAGGCTTACACATTTCTTGTATTTTTTCACTGCTAAACCGTCTCGTCTTCAACCTCAGGGGTGGGAAACTCTAGCCCTTGAGGTCCACTGCCCTCAGGGTGAAGCGCCATCCCTAATCAATCGTATAATACAATATAGATACAACATATAATTTTCTAAGTAATCCTGGAGACTTTGGTTAGATTTTTCAGGTATGTTTGATCAAGGTTGGAGCTAAACTCTGCTGGACGGTAGCCCTCCAGGAGCAGGGTTGGACATCCCTGTTATACCATAAAAAGAGCTGTGTGAAAACCTGCAATAAAATATCTAGTTAAAAAATGCAAAGATGTAGTTGACTAAGCGTAATAATATCAGTTTTACATGTGAATATTAATATTTGCACAATTGTTTAACTCAAAATGCATAGATTGAGAAGAGGGACTGTGTACAGGGGGCCCAGAGGCCAGGAGGGCATATAAGGATCTTCCCTAAGGGCCCCAGCCCTGGAACGAGATTTCTACTGAACCAAGTCATGTGACCCACATACTCCAAACAGATTCAACTATGATAATGATAACAGAATTGGATGAAAATTTCTTTCTCATGCCTCCTACAAGAGATTAAAGACTTTGTATCCTGTGGTGCATGTTGCCTGTTTAAGGGTTAAAGTTGGGATTGTCTCCAATAGGGCTTTTCACACTTGAAATAGTTAATCCTGGGTCATTCTAAACCCCGGGTAAACAGAATTCTGGGTTATCTTGCTTCACATTTCACACTGCTGATAATTTACCCAGGGTTAATAATTAATCCTGGTTATTCATACGCTGACATTTCACACTGTACATTCTTAAACGCTGGGCTAACGTTCATATTTGCATATTTGTGGTGTCAGTGTCATTGATTGGGTGAACGCAGCACACAACCTGTTTACATAAAGGTTCTAGTGTTCTTCTTAGAACTTTTTACAAAATTTCGGAACTTCTTTCTTCAGAAAATCTTTGTGAATCTGGTTCCAGCAACTTCAAATCTGTGTTTGCGTCTTGTGTCCTGGCTCTGATCAGCACTTCTATATGTTTTTGTGTGTGGTCTTACAGCAACCAGCACTTTATCAGCGCAGAGTGCTCCCTCCGTGTACCCTCCCCATCAGGCCTTCCTGGGCCCTGGGGGGATGATAGATGGGGGGAGTAGCCCTCTGCTCCAATCCTACAAGCCCTCCCCCTCTAATGAGAACCTGTGCTCCGTGTACACCAGTGACGCCACGCTCTCTGCGCCCAGTCTGTGTGTCACCTCGCAAGGTAAAAATAAAGACACACATCACAGCCCCTCTGCTTTTTTTAACACTAAGTAAATGATAAAGTGACATTATGGGTTGGCAATAAACAAAAAAAAACATTCTCACAATTCTCAGTTTTCGTCGATAACAATAGCCCACTATGCAAATTTTTATGTAAATCGCATTATAAAACTTTTAAACCATAATTTAACTATTGCAATGAAATAAATGTATCATTTATTGTAATTGCAATAAAATATATTATAAAAGTTTTTTTCTTTACATGTAATTTAAATATATAAATTAAAAATACTGTTTTGTGGACCTTTTTTTTTTTCAAACAAGCCAGGTTTCTCTGTTTTTAGTTAAAAATGGTAAGCATTTGCTTGATTTTGAAATAAGGGACAGCTGTTATATATACACCAAAATATGGTGTATATATAACTAATTTCAACTCTTATAACACTCACTCCTAAAAACCATAATCAGGGATGTGTTCCCCCCCCACCGTTTTATACAGATTCCCGTATTTTCCACCATGAAAAGTGACACGCGTGAATTGCGTAAATCCGATTGCGTAAATGGTTTTGTGGTGGTGTTCATGGGGGTTAGGTGGGGTGTGCTGGTTACTGTATGATTATTGAAATCGTGAAATGGCCTTAATGACTAAATAAACTGCAAGATGTCACGTTTTCTAATACATTTATTTATTCCATGCACGGATTGCTCCTGACAGCGCTGCGTGAGCTCGCGCCGCCATCTGTGGGACACCGTTATCATGTTAGCCAGGGTTCAAAGTGGCAGATGCGAGTAAAAATAGGTGTTGAAACTGTGTTACTTGCCAGTTGAAATGATATGGCTTAGTGTGATCATCAAATCGCAACGGTTGTGATGTAATTATATAAATAGCCTATATAGTCTGACACGCTGCATGTTTCAGAGTACTGTAACAGCACTGTGTTTTCAGTTTTGATTCACAGTTAAAGGGATAGTTCACCCAAAAATGCAAATTCTGTCATCGTTTACTCACCCTCAAGTTGTTCCAAATCTTTATAAATGTCTTTGTTCTGCTGAACACAAAGGAAGATATTTTGAAGAATGTTGGTAACCAACATCTCTGGCCCCATTGACTAACATAGTAGGGGGGGAAAATACTATGATAGTCAATGGGGCCCGAGATATGCTTGGTTACAAACATTCTTCCAAATATCTTCCTTTGTGTTCAGCAGAACAAAGACATTTATACAGGTTTCGAACAATTTAAGGGTGAGTAAATGATGACAGATTTTTTTTATATAAAATCAGATAAATGTATTTTTTTAATAACACCAATAATTGTCAGGGGGTCAGGTTTCCTTCTTTTTAGTCTTTAGCTGATCACATGCCTGCATTGTATACTCTTTTGGCTTTGTCATTTTGGATGTTTTAGTAACACATAGCAACTGTGGCCTACTTCCTGTGAGTCTTCCAAATTTGAGGAGAAAACTTAAGGAACACTCAGTGGGAAGAAATTGGAGCGTTCATTAAAATTGTGTTGTTTTTCCCCCTAACATTCTTGTGAATTTTGTGGTGTTTCGTATATCAGCCCTATTTGTGGTGGTTCAGGTTTAATCAAATCTTAATGTAGAAATCTTTGAAATCTGAGAAAGCGCACGCTTTGATTTGGATGAAGCTGCAGGGCTGATGCTTGTGCCTCCAGGGGGTGCTTTTCCTCCCCTGCTCTTCCACCCAGGGCCACTCCTCCCCTTCTTCACCTCCTTCACTCTCTCTATCTTTCAGGAATTCATGGCTTACTGACCATTCTCACTGTGTATTTGTGTACGTTTCCTTTATCTCTCTCTCTCTTCTATCTGCTCCATCACTTTCTCTCTATCTCTCTCTCTCTCACTGTCTCTTGCTCTTTTCCATCTCTCTTTCTCTTTCCCTCTTTTTGTACCACAGGCTGTGTAAAGTTCAGCTGTGGGTCGGAGAGAGTGACCTTCAAACCAGGTGGCAGGAGGACGCGTTTTCTGAGTACGCCCTGCTTGGCTCTTTGTGTGTAACGCTTTTTCTTTTGTCTCTTTCCTACAATGTCATGTGATTAAGTTCTTGATTCTGCCAAGCCTTCTGATTGGCTGATCATCTCAGACATTGTGTCATGAATCTTATGTTCATCACTAAACAGTTATTATCGTTCATATCCAATAATGCACTAGTGTAACCTATGGTCCAAGAATTATTTCTAATTGAATTATTTCTAATCGTTTACGATGGACACTTTGTCATTTGTATTATTAGTTTTAATGTTTTACCTTATTTATGCTCAAGTTTGATTTAACATAATAACAAAATTGTTAAAGATAAATTAATTACTAATAATTTAAAAGATTAAATTAAATTAACATGCTGCATTTGACAGTTTCCCGAAGCTTGTATGTAGCTTAAACAATGTATTCTGAATTTGGAGTGTGTCCATCACTTTCACAACAAGATCACAGCAGAATGTGTAAAAGGAAAAGTGTAAAAATTGTTTATTGTAAGAAGTGTTATTTTTGTATAATTTATATACTATTAAAGTATTTTTTAATATTTTGAATTAGCTTTTTTATATTTTTAATTTTTTGTTATAATTTTTAGCCATTTTTATGTACCTTTGTCATTTTTATTAGTTTTTTAAATATTTCTGTTTAGCTTTATTTTTTATTTATTTTCAGATTTAGTAATTGTACTACAACTTAAACTTATCTAATATTTATATTTTCATTTATTTCAACTTTATTTGTTACTGAAAATTATTGATTTTTAATAGTTTTAGTTAACAGTAACACTGATTGTTATAGTAGTTCATGACACTTGCTGTAACACAAATACAAATTGAACCTTATTGTAACGTATTAGCCATATAGTATGATCAAATAATAATGACACGTCAATGTGTCTGCTGAAACTTGGCTCTTCCTTTTCTGACAAATGCAGTGTGAACCGGCAACTTACTATTCTCATTTCCTCAAATAATTACACCCACTTTCGAAATTGTGAACAGCTGACACAGTGACTCAAGGCATTCTAGGCAAGTCACCACATCTATTTTACAATCTGCTGAATTTTCCCTTAGTCTTGTTTTGTTTTAGTTTTTTTTATTAAAAGAAAAAAAAAAATTCCGCGTCCCTCAGCTCAGGTACTTTCACACATCACATCATCTCATCTCAGCCCAGTCTTCCTTTGCAATCTTGTCTTCTATTAGCAGCTCTCACAATGTGAATAGACCTGATCACTGGCTTTGACCACAGACCTAGTAGTCACAACCACATGAGAACCTTCCTCCACTCACCCCAGCTTCACTGTTATTGGAAATACAGTATGAATGTAACAGCCATCAGGTGTTAAACTAGCATGTTCTTCTGATACACTCCCATAATGCACTGTGTTGGACCTGGAGTTACTGCAACACTGATTCTCTCCAATCTCACCGTTCTCTCCATGCTTCAGGGAAGATGGTGAAAAAAGTGTGCCCCTGCAACCAACTCTGTAGTAATTATCTCTCTTTTTTTACATCCTCCCACCCCCTCCCTCCTTCTCTTTCCTGTCATCACCCCTCACTTCATGTCCTGTGGCCTGTTGAAGCTAGTTTCCTTGCTAAGCTCTCAGGCTGACTTGAGCATTTCTTTCCTGTGATGACCCATTCATGTTTTTTATAAGTGTGGCATGTCACGTGTTTTCACTCTCAAATTAAACTCAAACATTACCCTTAACAAACAAACAAATACAAACACCTTTCCCTTAAATTTGGTTTCCACATGAAAACGAGATCGGGAGTCTCCAACCGGAAATTTTTTATCGAACATGCATGCAAATGTTTTTTCAAACCGGTGGCACTCGCAATGCGACGACGCCTCACTCCGCATCAGACAGACTAATGCACTCTAAATGGACCCGTCTGAGCACTCGTCCCATTATGCACAAGCCAATTTGAAGCCCCAGACTCCCTTCTGCACTCTTCTTTATCCCCTTAAGACTCATCCCGCTTACTACACATCGACCTCATCCTGTTTGGATGGAGCTTATCTTCTCACCCATTACAAGGATATATTGAGGCCTGGCTGATTTTCCCCCTCATTGTGCACAAGGCTTAATCACTGTCCAATGCACACGCTAAAATATTAAGGGTGTACAGCTCACATTTTGCACATACAAAGGAATCCAAGATCCTCCCATATTCATATTATCGAACAAAGTGAATGGAAGTCATCCAGTAAATGCTGAAGTCAAGCTGTGTGAGCCTCCACCTCTCCCTCACTCCTTTACCAGCAAGTGGTGCTGGTGCTTGGCCAGTGGTCTAGTTTTATGAATATTCTAACATCCACAATATATTATGATTAAAAGAAGCCTTATACTCACACAGGCTGCATTTATTTGATCAAAAATACAGTAATGTTGTGAAATGTTATTACAATTTCTTTTTAATATATTTTAAAAAGCTATTTATTCCTGTGTTGGCAAAGCTTCAGTGTCACATGAGCTTTCAGAAATCATTCTAACATGCTGATTTGATTCTCAAGGAACGTTTCCTATTTTAAATGTTGAAAACAGTTGTGCTGCTAATATTTTTTGTGGAAACAGTAATACATTATTTCAAGATTCTTTGATGAATAGAAAGTTCACAAGAACAGCATTGGTTTGAAATAAAAATCTTTTGTAACATTCAAGTATCTTTACTGTCACATTTGATCAAGTTTTTGCATCCTTGTTGAATACAAGTAATCATTTCTTTAATAAAAACATACTGACCCCAAAATATATATATATAGTTGTTGTTTTAAAAACCTTTTCAGTTTTAAGGGCCAATATAGACCATTTTTCCTTCAATGGAAATGCATGGAACAGGGCCAAACCGGGTACTGGCTTTGGCACCAGCACCAGCATGGTGAAAAAGGAGTAGCTATCTTTCTAAGCATGGCTTGCTGTAAACTACATCACCCAGAATACCTTTTGGTGCTTCAGTCTTGGCGCAATGTCGTCTTTCTGTTGCTGCTTTCTGGAGAGGCCGTGTTTATCATCCTAACAGGTCTATGTCGCCGGATGGCTGCCTGGATATTTGGCAAGACATTTGTGCCCAGTGTAATTTACTGTGCAAGATTTGATTTTGATTGTTTTTTCCATTTTTGATTTATAGTATATTCTTAAATGCATCAGCTCTTTGTTCCTTGACAGACATGTATAGATAAACGGACCGATCAGCTAATACCAGTGCATGATTAAAGACTGTTATCTCTTAGTCATGACAGTGATGTGTCTTATGAAGAAGCTGAGGCATTTCCACTCATTTTTCATTTTGCTTCGCATTAACTGCTCTGTAAATAGCTTCTTATTTTTTATTTTTTTATTATGTACCACGTAATCCTCATTGCATTGCTTTGTTCTTCAGAAAGAGGCTTTTTTACTCATACTTCTCACAAATATTAATGTGCTGACAAGATTTTGACCATTTTTTTTTACTAGTTTAGCTAATGGTACTAATCAACTATCTCATTAAGTCTCTAATAGTAAGTGTTGAAAATTTCCATGGTGAATCCATTTCCATTTCCACCACCCTTTTGCTCCCTCTTGTGTTGCAATAAAAACAACCATGGCAAGCATGATGATAAAGCACAGGCAGATGCGAAGCACTGTTTTCCGTGCTCCGATGGAAAGCCAGAGATGGTGTTTTAATGTTGTCATCGTGACCTGTTTTGCAGGCTGGAGTCAGAGTGATAAAAGTATCTCTTTAGCCTCAGAGCGGACGCCCAGGTGCTCGATAGGGCCTCACTGCCATGACTTTTGTTTTTGTATACACATGACATTTTTATATGATGTACAGTTGTGCTCTTAAATTTACATACCCTTTGCATAATATTTAATATGTTTCGCATTTATTTAAATTGGAAGAGATAAATATAATGAAGAAACTTTTTTTTGTCCTGAAGAACCTGATATTTGACCAAACAGGTATTTTGGTATTTATGAACTCCACAATATCGTGTAAAACCTGATGATCATGTTTTCCAGCATGATTAGAGATGATCCAAAGAGCATCTTGTGCTTCATTGGATAAAAAAAAAGCATTTCACAATGAGTTGACATGATAAAAATCACAAATTTGTAACTTTTTTAAAATAATTTTTTCGCTTTGTTTATTTCCAGGTTTAACTTGAATGCAATATTTTAAATAGCAGCTCATACTTTTGATTCTCAAATATGTTATTTCAAATAGTTTTATCAGGGCCGAACTTAATAAAATAAAAAATATTTTTTAGATCAAACATTTTGCTGATTATATAAGGTGTATGTAAACTAATGAGAGGAACTGTATATGAAAATATACATGTACACATTGATATAGTCTGTGGGCTTCAGATTGTATCAGATATTTCAGCGTGACATTCGTTGGAGAGACTTCCTCTTTACGACAGTCTTCTCTCTTCCTCTTTCCCTCTCCGCTCAGGGACGAGCAGCACCAACACGGTGGTGGGAACTGGTCAGAATCAAAACCAACCGCCCGTCTCTCAGTCCCAGAGCTGCAAGGGCATGTTCACAGACGAGCTGCACAAATTGGTGGACAACTGGGCCAGGGATGCTATGAACCTGTCGCAGGGCAAGAGAGGCTCCAAGCACCAACAACAAGTGTCGCCTCAGGGTCACAGCTACGACGTAAGACTTTATCCTTGAGAAACTCAGACCTCACAGTTGAATGTGAAGTTATAATACCTGATTAACATGCTCTTTTTTTTTTTTATTCCGCCTCTTCTCAGATGGTCCCCCCTGCAAACATGGGCCGTAAGTACTCGGCTCCGGGCCAGCTGTGCCCAAGCATCGCTTCAACTTTGAGTGGCCACTCGGCCATGCCCAACACTCCCGCTACCTCTCTGGGGACCCGGAAGGGCTCCTTGTGTCCCACGCCACAGTACACCTACCCCTCCGCTCCTTACAGCGCCCAGTGGGCTGGCTCTGCCACGCACACCCAGGCGGGTCTGCTGGCCACCTCACAACCCCTGGGCCAATATCCCCAGGTGCCCGCTCCTTTACAGACCTTCCACATTAGCACTTTGCAGAAGTCAGTCAGCCACCCGGGTGGACCCAACCTGAAGACCACGTAGGGCAGGGCCTAGCCGCGCCAGGCCTAAATAACTCTCGAGTTGGAGGTGGGGGCAGTCAGAGGCGAGGGGGGCGGACTGAAAGTTGACTAAAGCAAGTATTTGATTGCATTGCAGAGATTCTGTCATAAGAGTTTCCTTTGTGTAATTGAAAAGGATAGACACCAGAATCGTCCTGCATGCTCACCGATACGCCACAGGGATGATGCACAACGACCCAAGGGATATGAGAAGACGAAAATAAAACAATGGACACTTTGAATACAATGTTACGTGGCCAAAGAAGGTGTGACCATTTTTATCGTTAAGGTGTGTACATCCTTCACCACCCAGCCCCAAACATTTGTTAAGGGGCTTGACTTGTGTTTAGAGGTTTGCTGACCTAAGATGAAATGAATGCCACCTCCACCCATGCCAGAATCCAGCTATCTGTATATCCTCTTGATAAATTCATACATCAAGCATATCACAAAACAGAGCTCGGGTGGGTGCTGGTGAGCGAACCTAGTGTCCTTGTTCCCCTCTTGCCCTAAACCCTCTGCTGCAATGCCATGGAATAATGCAATAATTACAATGGTAGAAAAAAGCCCATTTTAAAACACAGGAAGTGGCCTTCATTAGAAAAAAAAAGAAAAAAATGTACAGATATCCTTTGTTTTTAAATTGGGTTATTAGGGTTTTGATTCCATTTGCTTGCTTGGTCAGTTGGGTTTTTTTTTTTTCCCTATGCCCTTCAAGCCGGCCTTGTGTAGCAGAATGTTAGGGACTTTTTTTTGTCACATGTTCAGAGGCCTTTCATCTGCCCCCAAGGTTTGTACTACCAAGCTCCTACAGCTCCCAGCATGCTTTGCAGCACATTCACACACTTACAATCCTCTTACGGTTTTCTCATTGGGCCACACCACAAGGTGACGTGTAATATATTGGATACAATCAGTTGGATTGGGGTTTGGATACGAAACTAGGGGTTGCGGGACGGTGAAATAACACACGTTCTGCCATGGAGGCCCGTGAAGCTTTAAATCTATGACTAATGTAACAGCTTTTTCTAATCATGGCAGCATTAGGGGCCTCTTACGATAGTTTGATCGAGACATTCAAATAAGAAGTCGTGTTCTGTATGGACCTGTATTTACTCATCAGTTTTTGATGTTAAAACACTGTGATTATTATAAATGTTGTTGGACAACATTAGCTAAAAAGAAAAGTAGACAAAAAAAACATGAAATTTTGGAGGGTTTTGGATATTAGCATTCATGAGATGTAAGGCTAGCTATTTAATTTTTCACATCTTATTGGAGACACTTTAACCCTTTTCCCCTTTCTACTTTCTTTATATTATTAGATAAATGTGAATGTAAAATGGATTCAATTAATGTACTTGAAGAAACAAATCTTTCCCTTTTTCCCTATGCCCAGTGAGCTTTCTGAAGATTCTAGTGCCTTCCGTTATTTTTTTTATTTATTTTTTTTGCTTCAGGGTTTGATAGATAAGGCAGCGGAGAGTCTCAAGCATTGCGCTTGGTTGGAGTGCTGGTCTTTGGACTTCACAGAGGGTGAATATTAATATATTGCGTAAACGAGGTGTCGTTTTGAATTGGCTACGTCTGAACCCATTTGTTGGCACAGTCCTAGCCTTTAGGCAGAGTTGCAAAAAGCTTCTTATAGAAAGTGTACAAATACATGATCCAGCCATTATATCACATTCAAAGGCTGTGAAAGTACTTGAGGGTTGAGTTTTTTAGAAACTTTGATCGGTCTAAGTATGCAAACGTAAGTGTGCCTATCATCATTGCACCCTACCTAGCATAACCACGTGTCTTTATTTTACAGATGGATTCTCATGAGCAGCTCTTGTGAAGGTGAGGGATCGGCTCAGATAGAAACGCAGGATGAGGGAAGTTAGTAGGCATGGGACAGTATGTTGTAAGTATTTCAGAACCTCCAATAGCTTAGATGTTTTTGCAGAACTGCTTAACTGGTTTTGACACCATCCAGTGTCAAACCCTCTCCGGTGAGTGTAGACAGGCACGTTTTACTCATTTAGCAACAGATGTGACAGCAAGTGTAACTTCACGAGTGAGAAAAGGACCAGAAAGATGAGAAAAGACAGTTAGCAACCCTCACCGACACAAGAGCCAAAGCAGCACTGTTGAAGAGTAATTCTCGCTGATTTCTCATCAAACCTCTTCTTTTTAACTCGCACTGCCCATATAAGTTCTCATGTCACTGTACTCATGGCAACGGTCTTCGGTTTTATGGCAGATCAGTAGCTTATTTTGGGGGATCTCTCTCTCTCTCTTTGTAGCAGTCGGTCAAATCACTCTTGTAAATGCTTTGGTTTATTCTAAATACTATTAACTGCATTAGACCTGCAACGTCAGACTACTTTTTAGTTTCACGTTTTGCACGTTCGACTGTGCAGATGAAAAGAGAACAGTCCTGATTCACCAGAAACAAGAGCATTTTATTTGGGGTACAAAGCATAGTGGAGATGCTCTCATCACCTTAACTACTGAAAGGACTTAGATTACAACTGGTTACATACTGCTTAATGTGCTTTCTGTGAAACGTGTGGCACAGGAACGTAACTTTAGGTCAACTGTACAGTGTAGATTCTCAACTGGCTCTCTATATTTAAAATACGATTGTTTTACCTTTTGCTTTGTACACAACGCTTTACCTGTAGACAGCTCGTTTTTACCCACTTTACGTCGTTCGGTTCGTTCAAACTGTGAACACATCAAAAGGTCTTTAACAAAGAGGTCCCACCTGCTCAGTGTTCAGACTAATGAAATCTGTAATACTACCTTCTGAGTGCCATGTCCCTGCTCCAGATACAAGTGTTAAGAAACAGGTCATCCTGTTTGACTGTAGAGGGCGCTAATGTAACTGCAATGCAGGACCTTCAACATTTAAATGAGATTCACCTCTGACCTCTGATGTAAATGATAACAGCACCTTGAAAAATACAAAAACCTCTTTTTTTCTTTATCCTTCACTTTACTTTGACAAAATTGTGTTTGTAGCATGCTGATGTGCGAATGAGCCATTCAGTATCGATACACATTGTGATTAACACATTTTTTTTTTTATTTTTTTTTTGCATGATACTACAGTTGAACAGAAAACATGCACACAAACTCACTCAAAAAGTATCTTATTGAATGAAACCCTCCTTTCTAGTCGCTCTCCTGTGGAAAGAAATACAACAGAACAATGTTTACTTAATGCTACTGACCTGTCATTAAGTTATTTTGCTTTTTTTACTGCTATCTGATCCGCTTTTTTTGCTGTCTTTTGAGTCTCTAGATTTTCTTCTGGCAACTTTCATTAAGTGTTTTTTTTCTCTCCGTATGATATTTAACATTGTACAAAATGTTAAAAAAAATGTCCTTAATGTAAACCAAACAAAAACGAGTAGGGAATCATCTGCAATGTTTAACTGTCTGTTTTGCACTAAGTATAGGATGTTCAAGCTTCATATAAAACTGCGCTTTGCGCTCCAATAAAACAGCATTTGTTACCTTATTTGTAAACTTAATAAAAGTCATTTAAATAAATCAAGTTTGCCTCTCGTTATCAATTCATACTGGATCCTGGATTAGTTATCATGCAGTTTAGAGCAATAGAGCTGATGACATACTTTTGATACATAAGTGCATTTAATTTCAGTTACTTTATTATGTCTCTCATGAGCTACTAAATACTGCAATCTGTATTATCAGTGATCTATTTCAGTGTTATTTGTGCCCACCTTTAATATGTCATGAATGTCCAATAATTTTTTGTTCATACTAGCAAATCTGCATCTGATGTACAAAGAGAATGGTGAGGTTTTTTTGGATAAAAAAAGTGTATTGATACTTTACAACAATCCACCCTACCATTTCAGGACATATTGAGTGTTATTTGCATCTATATGATAAAGGTGTGAATGACACCATGTGTGCACATGCACTCTGTGCCTCGTCCTTCCAGATGTGTACATGCAGTTCCATATCCGTTTGCTAGTATGTAGTTTTTAATTGTTACAAACACCCATGGCCATGTATATATACAATATAAGACATATTACATATATTATATATGTAATTGAGACTCGTTATTGCGGTGAATTATGGGATTGCACTCAATAACATCCACTATGGTTTCAGACACCACTACAAATGGCTGTTCCCTCAAATAGTGCCTAATTTAAGGGTATAGGGGGCGATTTCGGACACAGCCCATGCCTACACCGGACTATACCGTTGTTGTGCCACACTGGATGTGACAAAGCGACCATTGCAAATCCATTTGTTCTTCATATCAGAAGAAGCGAGAGCACTTGAAGTACGTCAGAATAGAATGGGGAATCAGTTTACCGTCAGGAATTTGTCGTGTCGCGCCACATCCAGTGTAGTCAACATCACTGATTATAATGTCGCATTGCGCCGCTCGTGTCTGGTGTAGACACAGGGTTAAGATTTTTCTTGTACTGGTTGCCATAGCGATATACCCTGCATGAGGGTTGTTAGCATTCAGTTTAGCTCCCCTTTTTCTAACTATTACTGAAAAACAAGCTCACTATGTTTGTCTTGCTCTTCACTCCCCCTTAAGCTTTTGATGGAATGGGTGATATGCTCATGCCAGCTATGGCTCCCCAGGCATCAGGGGCGTCACCCATGACCAACTCACCGGTCAAACCCATGGGAGGAAACCTGGACTCAGCTATGGCCAACATGGCCAGCAGTACGTTCCCATCCATTTTTTATTTGGTGTACTCCAAAATCATAGCCAAAATACAATAAAAAACAAAGTGTCTTTAATGGCATCTATGGTCTCACATTCTTAACAATAAAGGTTTCACAGCGATGCCATAGAAGAACCATTTTTGGTTGCCCAAACAACCTTTCAGTTGAACAGTTCTTAAAATAACCTTTTTTTTTCTCTAAAGAATAATCTAAAGAACGTTTTTCCACTTAAAGAAACTTTTGTGCAATGGAAAGGTTCCATGGCTGTCTTTATGGAACCATTGATGCCAATAAAGAACCTTTGTTTTTAAGACCTTTAGCATCCATAGAACCTTAAAATTCCATAGAACCATAGAAAATAAAGGTTACAAAGGGTTTTGTTTCGCAGCGATGTCATAGAAGAACCATTGGGGTATAGTGGAAAGAGGTTCTTCGTGTTCTTCATACAAACACAAAAAAAATGGTTATTTTAAGAACTACTCACTGAACGGTTCTTAGCAGAACCCCAATGGTTCTTCTATGACATTCCTGTGAAAAAAAATAACCTTTTGAAACCTTTATTTTTAAGAGTGTGAAACTTTAACTTTAATAGAACCTTTCCATTAAACAAAAGGTTTTTTTTTTATAGTGGAAAAGGTTCTTTAGAATAATAAAATGGTTATTTTAAGAACTGTTGATTGAAAGGTTCAAATGAATGGTTCCAATGAAACCTCAATGGTTCTTCTATGACATCACGGTGAAAAAAAAACCTTTTGGAACCTTTATTTTTAAGAGTGTAAGAGCTTACAATTATAAGAATCTAAAATTGTAAATCTCTCTGTCTGTGCTTTCAGATTTGACAATGGGGAACCAGAAACCGTAAGATACAGTAACGTCCTACTCTCGATTTCACCATATTTTCTTGCCCCCTTAAATACATATTTGTGTATCTGTTCCGCTTCTGTTTCTGTCTCTCTCTCTGTCTCAGGGGTGAAGCAGCTGGAGGGGCGAACTGGCAAGCGCAGGTACCCACCCCTAGATGGGGCGTTGCCATGGTAAATGTTGTGTTGTTCTGTAGATGTGGAGCATGGGGTCGGAGCATGGCTTTGAGCAGCATGGCGTGGAGGCCTATCAGCTGAATGAGCAGGACTAAAGAGGCGGAGCTTTCTCATATATGAAACTTCGGGTTGAAATATGGAAACTCTTGAAATGTCAACTGTACATTTCTTATTTCAACTTCTTCTTATAAACTGCACTGGTAACACTTTACAATAAGGTTCCATTTGTTAACGTTTACTACATTAAATAACACGAACAAACAATGAAAAATACTTCTAAAGCATTTATCAATCTTAGTTCATGTTAAAAATGTACTAATACATTATTAAATCAAAAGTTGTATCTGCTATTATTACATTGTTATTACTAGTTTATTATTAACTAATGTTAAGATGAATAAATACTGTAACATGAGTTGCTCATTGTTACCACTGCATTGGTTATTATAAAATTATATATTTACAAAAGGATGTATCAAACTTTACATTCGTTTGTGTAAAGTGTGAAAAAGCCAAACAGTAGCTTCAGATTCAGTCTCGCTTTAGAGCTTCAGACCTGTTTTGGCTTGACAGCCGCTTCCTTCTCTTCTCTTTGTTTTTGTTTTTATTATTACTATAATACTAAACATATATGCATGTACATCCCCCCTGAAACATTTAAATTCACACTTAAATCAAATTGTTAACCACCATCCCAGTTTGTGCACTGTGCAGATTCCCTTCTGTGTGTCGTAGAGTCATTATGTTCAGGTGTTGTCCTGTTCTGTGTTGTTTGGTGTTAACCTTTCCCCCCTCCATCCCTCCCACTCGCTTAGAATCCCCCTCTTGGGGTCTGTCCTGTCATGGGATCCCCATCACCATTTGGCATGGTAAGAGTGTGTGTTTAAGTGTATGTGTGTGTGTGAAGGCGTTTGTGTTTGTTTCTCTTACTGTGTCTCTCTGCGATTCACAGCCTGGAGCAGGAGCTTCTCCCATGATGCCTGGCTCACCGATGATGGCCTCCCAACAACCAATGATGAGGCCACAGTTTCCGGCAGCAGGAGCCCCTGGACAACCGGTATTTTAGACATGAATGCAGTTGAATTTTTCACTTAGGCATTATAATAGTCATTTAGACAAGAAATGCAGACACACGTACTTAATTATTGCTCCCGTCATGTGTGCGTTTCTCCCACAGATGTCTCCGGGAATGGCCCAGAGTCCCAGGAAGCCTCCACCTTCTAAAGATCCTCTCGCTGACCTCAATATCAAAGACTTCATGTAGATGAGCAGCTGGTGTAAGTTTAACTACAGCTACAGCAGATGTGAAATCTGACGACAGGAAACAGAATGAGAGGCAAGCGGAAATTATGTTCTGCATCTGATGCATCTCGTTTTTAATATTATATTAAAGAATGTAGTTGTAAAAACGTGAGTTACATGAAAATAGTGTCATCTGGGGCCGTAACCATCAGGGGAACACGGATCAAAATTTAATCAATATATAGTGATCAATCAATATTAATTAATATATACTGTATATTAGGGATGTAAGGAGCGATATTAAAACGTGACGGTATTTCTCGTAGAGGTGAAAAGCTGTCTCGTGAGTCGTGACATCAGCATGATCGAGTTGAGTTTGTGGCAAAACCTTTTACAGTGCTTGCATTATATTGACCGCATTATTAGACCATTTTCTAAGGCTGCTGCACGATATATTAAAAAAAAACATTTAAAAATCATAATATAGCATAGTGCAATTGAAGAGAATTGTTGCATCTGGGAACGTAACATCGACTTTTCACCATTTATAAACCTATGCTGACACAGGAAATACATCAATATGTTAAATATGCAATTTCAAAGTAAAAGTTAAACCCCCCGATCTGAGTTTGAATGATTTGATGTCCACATGTTCTTGTTCAAGAAATGACGGTGGCTGTAGCATTTCTATCATAAGGAAGTGGCCAAATATTAAAGATTAGGCGGACATTTGAAAGAATTTCAAGGATAACACACAAGGATTTGATCACGTTTAAAGTGTAACACCAACAATCACCAGGTTGTTGGCGCCCTCTGCAGGCATAATGTACATTAGTTGATTGTTCGCATTTTGTATATTGCATTATGTATTTTAATAGTTGTTCAATAAAACCATAAAATGTCCTGCTTTTGATACCTTATTTGAACCAAAGGCTTTTGTTCACGTAGGTCTATTTTTTACTAAAAATATTATCAGATTACTCCAATAATCATATGTATGTAATTATGTATATATATATACAAACACAAATACATATGCATATAAAATACTAAAACCTCTTTCTTTTTTCTCTGTTGCAGTTGTCACACTTATTGTGCAGCCCCGATGAATCAGACGTGTGTACTCTCTTCCATTCATCACATTCAGGGCCTCCAGACCCTCCTTCTCTCTCTTTCCCTCCCTCCCTTTCTGTCTGTTGTTGTAGCACAAACCGTGAACGTGACTAAATACATGTGTGTACGTGTGTTTGTATTTTAATGTTCTCAGTTACTTCAGATCTATATATAAAAAATAAATAATAAAAAAATACTATGAAGAGTAATGGGCGATGCATTCTTGAACGTGCATCTGCGGGTCTCTTAATGATAGATGTGCATTCATTTTTCCTGGCTCGCTTTCCGTGGGAAATCAAATCAAATGTGTGACGCTTTCTGTGGAAAATGTTTTTTTGCTGTGGTAAATATCACTGGGCCGGTATGTGTCATCATCAGTCGAGTATTAGTCATCTTTTGACCATGGAATAACTTCTGTGGGAACAATATCAACGTATTACGAGTTAAGGTAGTGTCTCACGCACTGTTTCTTTTTATCAATGCCCTGATTTTATTCTTTTTTTCGTATCTATATTGATTGTGAGTTACATGCGACCATTTAATGAAAATAAATATGCATTTTAAGAACATTTTCAATTACAGATTGTTTTGAATATCCTTAGTCTTTATTTTGAGATAAAAAGGTTGAATATATTTTAGTTATGTCAGAAGTTTACTTTGCATACTACATGGCTAGTTAGTAAATCCCATTTGTACAAAGGTCTGTGTCCATCAAAAGACACTGTCTGAGCCGATCGAGTCCTGCTTGTACGTACAATATAATATCACAGCATGTAATTCCTTTGTTGTGTAAAGGGGGACGCCATTGAGCCAGAACAGATTCTATCAGCAGCAAGTTCATCAGCCAGTCTCGAAACAAGACTGAATAGAACTGGCTGCCCGGTGTTTTGTTGTATGCAACTTTGCAAGTGAGTGTTTGCTGCAAGTATCAAGGATATCAAAGGGACAAACATCAGTTTAATGGGACAGTATTGCATTTTATTGATGGCTGTTTTTTATTTCAATTGAACATTTTGTTGATAAATTTTATTTTTGGATGGAATAACACCCTTTGCCCCTCCCACCTTTGTGCATGTTAGTCCTGTTGAAATGCAATAAACTGTGATCTGGAGAGAAACGCCACCGTGTCATTATTGGGTAAATGTATATGCTTACACTGAAATTGTGATCTGGTAAAGTTCATAAGAGCTCCCAAAATATATATAAACATACATTTAATCCCCAATCTGTTTCTCTCTCTCTGATGCGCAAGCATCTAATGTCACGCTGTTACACAGCAAACATAAAGCAGTGTTCAGACAATCCAGGATGCCGAAGCCAAGATGAAGATGGCACAATGTATTCATGGCTAAAGCGACACTGACAGATCCACAACCACTGAACAAACCAATGAATGGACACTGATGTTATGAATGGATATCAGTCTCCCCATTGCTCTTTCTCAGTCAGTGTTTGGCATGGCAGAAAATACCTCTTTAATATATGAATGTGTAGTAGAAAAGAGCACTGATGGCTAACAGAGCGACGGACAGCATCATGTTCTTCCTGTTCTCTCCTCTCAGTACCTGCAGCTCCTTTTCTGAAGATAAAACAAAAATGACATCATCATACAGAACTGCTCTTCCCAAAAATTTATTCAATACCAAATGACGCAATGCATCAATACATTTTTGTGATTTATTTCCTATTGTGATGTGTATCCATGTGAAACAAGAAAAAAAAGTAGGGTGGGACTTGATTTAGTTCATCAGGAATTGTTTGGATGGTTGCCGTTTGCTATTGGTCGAGCTCATTTGAGTGACAGATTGTCCCGCCCTCACGCCAGTAAACACGTTGTCAGAGAAGTTGCAAGAGGTAGGGGAAGTTTAAAGATTATGAGGCACATGAATAAAAAATAAAAAAAAGGATGTGAATGTATAAATCATGTAAATTAATCATTTCAAATAAATACTGCAATATTCCTATAAAAAAAACCCAATAATTATTCATTTTGATTTCACGGCTACTTAAAATTCCATAACCCATGGACTAAATATTCATTGTCAGACTGACGCATTTTTACACCCCTAATCTTTCCATAAAAGTGACTTACCATATTTCTGTATTCTGATATTCATTATGGTCATCTCATCTTCAAGGGCGAGCCTGACAGTACATGAAAAGACTCGTTTGCTAAGTTTCTACAGTAGATTAAGCAGCTAAAAGCTTATGTCTGAAGCACAGCGATGTTTATCATCATATTGTCATAACCACCTTTCACTGTCCGAGAGTTGCTCTTTTCTCTGTCTGAACTCTGACCTCTCCAGGTTGTTTTTACAGTGTGATTTGCGCTCTTCAATGCGGTCAATCTAAAGAGAGGGGGGGAAAAAGCATAATTTCAATATGAAAACAGATGTTCATATAGGACTTATCAGTTAATACGTGATAGCACAGACATTCAACATTTTAAATAAATTAAATCTGGGTATAAATGTAGCGTCATCATTCTTCTGTCAGCTGTTCCATACATAGATATACATACAGAATAATTGATCTATGGCTATAAGTTACATACATATCTATGTTTTCATACACATGAAATGGCATAAACGTGCATTACCTCGCTTGCCACACTTATTTTCTCTTTCTTCGTCGTCCTTGATTTACTCATTTTGGAAGGTCTGAAGAATTTAGTGAAGAGAAATCATGGGAATAGTATATACTTCCGCACACAAATCTTTTACTCATCACTCTCTTGCTTGTCGCTCTTTGTCTATAACGAGATTCATACTGCCATCTGCTGTCGAGGGTGAGGGTGACATTTCAACAAACAGGAAAACAGTGGGAGAAAGTATGAAGAACTGACTATGAGAATACTATGAGAGACATCTATAGAATTTTAAGGTAATCAACTAACCTAGATAGTTGTTTTTATTGTTGGCGTTTAATTCAATTTTAATATCCGAATGTTAGTAAGAAGAATAAAAAAAACATATCCTCAAATGCATTTTACTAAAAATCTAAATAAATAAATGCATAAATAAATAAATAAATAAATACTGTAAGTAAAATCAGCACACATTTAAGCTGAAAATCATGAATAATCCTGACAATACACGATAATTATCTGTAATACTTTTATTCTTTTTTTATTTACAGTCCGACAATTATTTTCATCAAAAGTAGCAAGACTAGCCTACAGCAAACACTGTAATGTATTTTTCTTTTGATAATCAGGATGATGTTCCAGATGTGTGACAGGCCTGTCCTGGATGTATTTGTATGTGTGTTTAAATCAAACAAAATAAGACAAACTATAATATTTAAAAACACTGTATTTGTTATATCACATAATCAATAATGCAATTTGTTGAATTGTTGTAGGCTACAATGTTGAAGCTATTAAAGAGATATACAGTCCTGCTACTTTCTACTCAATTTATAAGTAAGTACTCCCACTACCGCCACCAGGGCGGCGACACCAACTAACAGCAACGGGAGTTCAAAGGGCGAGGTGGGAAGCAGGCCCGCCTTTGAAACGACCTCTTCCGAAGATGACGTTGTGTGGTCTTGAGACACGCTAGGCTCATTACTAGATTCAGAAGTATGAGACTCCTCTGACTGTGTGACTGCAGAGTGTGGGAGATGATCTAAAACCTGTGAGATGATTTCAGGTATGGGAAGAGAAGCCATCGTGAAATCTAACGGCTCGGACAGAAGAGGGGTGTGAGTGAAAAATGGCTCAGAATCCACCTCTGTCTCAGTTTCCTCCACAACTGGCTCCTCCACACACATCAGAAGTTCCCCTGTCTGTGGAGGCTTGAGATCTGATTCTGCAGCAGATTCGATCCCCACCAGCTCCCTATCGCTGCAGATCATGCTCAGCACACTGCTCTGAAGGTCTTCTTCATCATCTGACTCCGCCCTCTCGTGGAGCTCCGCCTCTAAGTGGATGATGTCGGAGGTGGAGGAGTGGTTCTCGCTGTGGTCCTCTTGAACTAGAACCATCTCACTGGTTTCTAGACTTCTGAGGTCTGTCTCCATGTCGCTAACAGACGCCCAGGACTCAGCCAGACCTGCGGTCTGCCAGCGGCCCGAACCACTGCTGCTCTCCTCCAGGCTTGAGGTTAGATCCCGGGGAGGGTCGGGCCCCGCAAACTGCCGGTCCTCAGACAGGATGGAAGATCTTTTTCTCCCCTCTGAAAATCTGACTAATGTTCACAGGTTCTGTCTTCAGTGAGTCCTAAAGATGATAGACAGTATTAATTCAGTCATATGTACATAATATGTTGTGAAAAAGAGAGCAAAACATAATATTCAATGAGCAAATAAATAAATGTGGGCCAGGAGTATTTACCAAATCTGACCTCAGCATTTGTGTCCATGACAAATTACAAAGAATTACAAACATCCTTGTCTGTTGTCATGTTTTGATCTATGTATAGGCCAGTAAGCGCATATCTGACTGGCTATGCAGCCTATATATATATCTCCAACTGTTCACATGTCAGATATTTCACATGGCATGACACTCAAAAAAAAATGCTGGGTTGTGTCAACCCAAATTTGGGTCAAATATGGACAAACCCAAATGTTGGGTTAAAAATGTCATTTAAAATTTTAACCCAACTTCAACTTTCACTTTCAACTGTACATTTTTTAATGACATTTTTAACCCAACATTTGGGTTTGTCCATATTTGACCCAAATTTGGGTTGAAACAACCCAGCATTTTTTAGAGTGCAGGATCATGGTTCAGTTCACATAGGACATATCTTACTCTTTTAGGACCAAATTTTATTTACTTTGTCAGATTAATCAATGTCTAAACTCATAAATCTCCCACTGGCACGCTGAAGACGCACTACTGCCATTCATTTAGTGTCCAATCCCGTTAATGAAGTACATAACATGATGGTAAAAGCAGTTCGAGTTTGAACCAGCGCCGCTTCAGTCACAGCACAGTGAAAACATCTGCAGTGTCAACAGTCGGATTGTGAAGAGATAGTAAACTAAAGCCCATCTGCAAGATCAAAGGTCAAAGTGCTTAAAGGGATCAGATGTGCAAGAAATACATGCTGTAGCATTTTAACTTTGACGTCTGACCGAGGCAGCAGAGAAGGCTGAATGTGACCCAGTGGACAGAATGAGAAACAGGAGAGGAAAATGACACAGGTTATACTTTTGTATAAACCTCTTCTAACCAACAGGAATATTTAGTTAAGTATGGCTGAATAGGTCCTTCTATTTCCACTGTAACAAGGCAGTTAAAATAATATGATACTATCCTCATATAAAACAAACTGTGATAGAAAAGATGCTATAGCAACTTATAGCACTGCAGATGTTATAAAAGGGAGTATATCATTTGAAATAATAATAAATAAAAGAACTGTCCAAGCTTACATTCTCATACTACCCATATGGGAAATTTATATAATTGATATGAAGCAACAAATAAAATGCACATGGACTATTTTTTAAGATCGGAAGACAGTAAATTATGGCTTTGTCATTCACTTTTCTGTTAGAGACAGAGAATACACCCAATCATAACCTGTATATGTCATTTGATATTCTGTAAGGGGAGCTATTGAAAACAGATCTTACCTTGTCTGAGCATATAGGGTTTAGTCAGGAAATGAATGCAGACTGAGGCTTGAATAAATACAGAGGAGGGGTCACTGGAGCTCATGGGCTTTACTGCAACAGAATGCTATTCAGCACCTCCCTTTGCCTGTCCCCTATACCCCACCCCCTATCCCATTACATCTGTCCGACTCATGGGGACATGGCAAAGTGGTAAAAACTCATATCGGCCCACTTAACCTTATTCTGGTCCATGACACATTGATTGGTCCCATAGTCCTGTTTGCTTGACATGTATTTGTTTAACAAAGTTAGTTTCTACCTTGTGATAAAGGTTACTGTTATTTTTTTGTTGGGGTTTTTCTTAATTAAACTAGTTAGTTTTTCTTAATTAAACTTTCACAATGACCTTGAGCAGAATTTCATCACTTTTAAATTATTTATGAAATCAATTCCCCTTGAGTCCAAATGTTTCATTTTTCAATTGTCCATTTTCCATTTCATATTATGTCTGCAATTTTATCATTTAAAACTTTTGGGTGAAACGGTTTGATTTTATTATTCATTATTTTGTCAAAGGTTCAAAATAAAAAGCCCTATACGCGCACTGAGATCTGATTGGTTCCCGGAGAGGAAACGCGCGTCATGTGACGTATGTGTCATCATTGACTGAGAATCAGCTGATCCTTCCAGTCTATTTTCACGACTCTGACACTGTCACGATCGACTACTTTCATATAATTTAGTGCGTTTTTAAATCTTTAGGCTTTTCCTAAAATATCCTAACGTCTTCATAAATATAAGACGTCTTTCCTTTGTCGCGACACGAGCTTTTTCTGTCGGTGGAGTTTAAAATCCTCTTACAGCAGCAGCAGCAGCAGCAGTCATGGCGCTCAGCGATGCCGACGTCCAGAAGCAGGTGAAAACTCGTTCAAATGCATCATTTAATCTTCATTACAGCATACCACTATAGAAAGATTAATCATTCAGTGCTTTGATAAATGCATTGTTTTTTGACGAGCCTGACAGGAGCATCGTGATATAACAAGACGATGTGGCCTTCAAGGTTGTTCGTCATTTATTCATTAGACACGCGCTAGCATCACGAGACCTGTCTCTATATGATATGAATACATTTAAATGGGTGTATTAAAGTGAATTGTTGTATATGGAAACACGCACATGTGCATAATGGATCATTAAGGTAAAATTAAATCAATCATCCCCAAGGCAAATGCATTAAAGTGGTGTGATGAAAAATATCAAATAATATGTATCACAAGATACAGAATGCAGATGATGCAAAATATGAAGATGTAGGATGTTCTGCATGGTAATAGCATTCATGAAACCTACTAAACACACACACTAGACAGACACATTCCACATCCATGTGATGAGGCCACGAGAAGCAGCTCTTATTGCTACTGTAAACTTGTTTAATCATATTTAGGATTATTTGTTTTGATAAAGAAAATGCATGTGCCTGCATTTACAGTTTAATTCTGATTTACACTGATTCCAGGTTCCATTAAAGGCTTTTCCCCATTGATATTAAATTGTTCTCCTATCGTTTTCCATTTCTTCCAGATCAAGCACATGATGGCTTTCATTGAGCAGGAAGCCAATGAAAAAGCAGAGGAGATTGATGCAAAGGTCATTTTTGTTTAGCTTTAAATTATTCCATTAGAACAATGCAATGTTATAGTGGAAATGGTGTAAATATACTGATATGATAAGTGACACCCCCTGCAGGCAGAGGAGGAGTTCAACATTGAGAAAGGTCGGCTGGTTCAGACCCAGCGTCTGAAGATTATGGAGTATTATGAGAAGAAGGAGAAGCAGATCGAACAGCAGAAAAAAATGTGAGTGTGACTTCCTCTAACCTAAGCCACTTGACGGCCAAATCATGGAAATTCCCAGTTTCCTCAAAATCTGTTACTCAAACAAGCGTCTCATGTTGTAAAGCGGTTTCAAATCATTTTATTATTTATGAAATGATCTGATTGTGAATTCTTTGTCCCTAATAATGTTTTAATTTTTTGCTTCCTCTCCACAGTCAAATGTCCAACCTAATGAACCAGGCCAGACTGAAGGTCCTGAAGGCCCGTGATGACATGATTTCGGTTAGTTCATGTTCTCTTTTTTGGCACATCAAATCTTAAACAAAATATAGGGTGGGAGTTTCTGTTGTCTGTCTATGCAGCAGTTTTAATTCTGTGCTCTTTAGGATTTGCTGAACGACGCACGTCAACGACTAGCGAATGTAGCCAGAGATCCATCCAGATACGCTGCTTTGATGGACGGACTTATCCTGCAGGTGAGCAATATATAATACATAGTGTAGCAAATCAGCTCTGTCAAAGACTTTCTGTGAGTCTTATGCTCTAATATTCTCATGTTTCAGGGTTTTTACCAACTCCTGGAACCCAAAGTGACCATCCGTTGCCGCAAACAGGATGTGGGCATAGTGCAGGTCTGTGGATGTATATTCAATGACAACTGAAACCTTTAAAATAAACTTGATCTGAAAAAAATATATAAAAAAAATCAAACTTATTGTAGCTAGTTGCCAAGACAACATTTCTCATTTTCATTTAGTTTAACTTGATGTACTTAGTAACTAAAATACAAATAAATATTATTACAAAACTAAATAGAATTGTTTTATGTGATATTGCAATTTTGCGCTCAAGTTAAATTTGCAACTTTGGATGGAAACACAGCTACTGATATAAAAAAAAAACACTGAAAAGCAAAATTTGTCATTTACATTTATTCATTTAGCAGACACTTTTTTTTCAAAGTGACTTAAAAATGTTTTGTTAGGCTGCTGTGCAGAGAAACATCCCCATCTACAAGGCAGCTGTGAAGGACAATCTTGAAGTGCGCATTGACCAGGACCACTTCCTCTCTCCAGAAATGTGAGCATCTACGCTTCCTAAGCAGTTGCTCATTTATAAAATTAGCCTAAACAATGTTAGCTCTCTTTTTTTATCTTTGTAATGAAAGTGTGTGTGTTTTTCTGTGTAGCTCTGGTGGTATTGAGCTGTATAATACTGATGGGAGGATCAAAGTGTCCAACACTCTGGAGAGCAGGCTGGACCTCATGGCACAACAGGTATACAGCATTTGGGCTGAGAAGATATTAAAAGTAATGTGTTATTATATTGTTACTCCCTAAAAAAGTACCTAATTGCGTTACTTGGTTACTATTATTGGAAAGTAATGTTACGTTACTTTTGCATTACTTTTTTTCACCTGGGCTGGGCTTGGTTTTTTGTTTTTTAATTCTATTTCTATTTTTGGCAAACGTCAAGGCCCTTTCACACCAAAATGAAATGATGCAGGAGAAGAAAGTTCAACACTCTTACTTTAGCAATAATAACAAAAAAAGTAAACACAAATGTGATGTTTAACTAAAGTCATTATTGCTTATGGTTGAATTGGATCATCGAAGGTCAGCAGCAAAGACATTGGTTAATAAAGGCAAGGCAAGTCTATTTATATAGCACATTTCATACACAGTGGTAATTCAAAGTACTGTACATAGAAAAGGAGTTAAAATAGTCAGAACATATACATAAGAAATAAAAATATCTTTCATAAGAAATAAAAATAACACTAAGTTCAGTCCAGGGCATCCCAAGTGGGATTAAATGGATAAATTATGAATTATTTAGCATTTTAATTGTTGTAGGTTTACTAAATAGTTTAGTGTTTTTATTCATTTTGAGGAGTACTGAATCTGTTTTTGTGCAAGTGAGATGAGTGAATGCATGTTCACATTTATTTTTGAACTACAATAACCATCATGTTCACACAACGCACACAACGCCTCTGCATTTTACTCCCGATTTCTCTCAACATGGGGACAGGAAGAGGTGTCAGACAATAAATGTGAAAAATAAAGTAACTTGCGTTACTTATTTGAAAAAGTAACTTTTGCATTACTTTACTAGTTACTTGAAAAACGTAATCTGATTACTTAACTCGCATTTCTTGTAATGCGTTACCACCAACACTGAGAAGCAGTGTTAAATAAATGCTAGAATTTTGAGTTGATTTTGATTTCTTTTCAGATGATGCCTGAAATCCGAGTTGTCCTGTTTGGTGCAAACCAGAATCGCAAGTTCATGGACTGATTCTCATTGATATAGGAACCCTTTTAGAACCACGGCGGATCGCCATTGTTTGATGTTGTATTTTATTTTCAATCTGATGTTAATGACTCCATTCCTGTGTGTGTGTGTCTGTCTGTATTTAAGAAAATATCATGTGTATGTGTGTGTTCTGTATGTGATGATTCATTATTGCTGTAAAAAATAGTGTTTTGATTGGCTGCTGGATCTCCGGTCCTGAACATCTTGTGTTTGATTCCGAATGCAGCTGGAATATAACATGTTTATGTTTACAGAAAGGTAAAAACTTAAACTGATGTAGAAATTCCATGAAATTCCAAAGCTCTCATTAGTTTGCAAACTGGACCTGATAACCATTTAGACGACAGCTACATCTTGAACATCCCACAAAATGGTGACACAGAGTTGACTATTACAATCTGTTCAGTTGAATTTTATTTGCTGTCCTTTACTGTGGTGCAGAGCATGACTTGTATATCAGAACCAAACGTGTCTGTTAACACTGCAAAGATTATATTGATGTGAAAATGACACAATGAAAAACAATATAGACCAGATCTTCTCCCACTGTGTTCTTACTGAGTCTATTGTGTGGATGGTAAATGTCAGTCATTTGGGGAATGTCATAATCAGAAGGGTTTGCTGAAGGCTCTTATTCTACGAGTCATTTAAGATTTCACAGTATGTCACATGCTCTATTGTCGTCACATTCTCAACATGTGCTGTCCTTCAGATTGAGGAACTTAACATGCAGAAACAAGGCAGCTGAAATACATGCTCTCTGAGTGTAAGACATATAGCAGGGAACAAAAAGGGAGTAATGAGTCAAATAAACTTGAAGGTAAGGGAGTTCTTTGTTATTTATAATCAATAGTAATATTTTAAGGTATGCTGTTTTCTTATTGCTGAGGTTTTCTTTATTAGAAATGTCAATTTGATTATTGGAAAGGCTAGGGGTAAAGCAACCATATTAAAATAATATTAATCATACTAAGGAAATAGTACGGAAGTGTTTTGCATTCACTTGAAGAAAATTAGGTGAGATAATTAAGTCATTAATTCAGAAAAACAGTGCAAAAACGTTTTTCCATGAAAAATTATCTCGTAATTCTGAGATAATTAACTCGAGTCGATTTTTTTTCTTCAAGTGAATGCAATACGCTTCCGTAAAATAATGAGATCTAACATAACCTGTGTTGAATATAATGATAATTATGATGTAGGTTACATTTTGATCATGTACATAATAATAATGCTTATTGTTTATTAATAAAATTTATGTTTAAAGATTGGTTTTGAACAAAGCGACTTAAAATGCAGCAGTAAGTGAATTTAGACCCTTTTATGCATTTCGCAGAATGACTGCAAATAAATTAAGTTGACATTAGACTACTGTCCTGACCTTTAACAAGGGATAGATCTGATTAAGACGTTAAATATAGGAAAAGGACAAAAATAGACAAGTTAATACTTGCATCTAAACCATTCAAATAAGAAAACAATTTGATTTAAATGTTTAGCAAGACGCATAAGAGAATCTCCAGATTGCAGCTATATGAACTTGAGACTTCGAGCTTTTAGTTTAATTTTGTATATCAACACAATCATATCCAATGCAAAGTGAAATGTGGTTTAGGTGCAAATTGCACAGTACAAAAGAATGAAGAACCATCAAACACATTTGATAAAGACAAATCACTTTAAAAAAAAAACTAACAAGCATAGTTTGTCTCAAGCATAATCACTCTCTCTTGTCTCAGGATCTCTGTACGAGCATGAGGCGTCTCTTCTGGTGTATCTTCAGCAGGGCAGCTCTGATCATGCTGATGTTACTGTGTATCAGAGAGTGTAATCCAATGCCAGACCCCCATCAAAGGGATCTGATGCTGAAGCAGGAGATCTCCCAGCAAGTAGGGGGCAGTGTGGAGCTCACAACGGCTGAACTGCAGTTGGATTCAATCCTACACCAGCTAAAGCTGAAGGAAATGGTTTATTCACCTTTCCCACCTGCCAATCACTTCTTCAAAGTGCGGCACATCGTGCAAAAAAGCCCTGTCTTCAAGCTACTACAGAAAATGCCAAAGGGTAAAAAATGATTATATGTTTGGGACGTGTGATTTATAAGCATAATGTATAAGTGCATCGATGTCTTGGGCGGCAATTATTTAAATGAGGAATATTGTGACGTGTTCGTTCCCGGAAGAAAACTCAAGGCTACAATGGAGGAGTTTTAAGAAAGTTCAGAAACAGTGCACACTGATACAGAGAAGAACTCCCTTTGGAGTGACAGTGCTTTCAAACTTGGCAGACCCTTTTCATGCCCAAACAGCAACATTACACACTAAAGAATGTAAAAACCAGATAATAGGATCCCTTTAAGGTTAAGCTGTAGGGTAGGGTTAGGGTTAGGGTTTACGATTTGTTGTAACCGTGTAGGCAATCAGCACTGTGATTGACATGACCAATAAAATCTCTGAAAGTTTGCGCTGAAATGTTTAGAAAAAATAAATAAAACAATTTGGGGCTTATCTGTCCTTCAGATGACAAAATGACTCTGTGCCTTACAGGTGCTGTCCTTCACATCCACAGCTCCGCTATGGTGAGTGTGGAATGGCTGGTGCTGAATGCGACATACAGGCCTCATTGTTACATCTGCTTCACGTGGGACGGGTCACTGAAGTTCCTTTTCTCTACTTTTATGCCCTTTCCACGTTTTGGATGCTTTGTCTGGAAACGGCTAGACCTGCTGAGGGCCAGCCTCAGTGATGTCACTGCCTTTGATAACAGGTGATCAAACTTATTTCAACATCAGGCATAAAATAAACACTGGTACAAAAATGGCAGTGGCCATTCAGGATATGTTATTGCACTGAAAAGCATCATTTGTTTGCAAATGCCACAAATAAATGTTTACTGTAAGTATGGCTTTAGTGGCAGTTTGACAGATATATATACAGGTCCTTCTCAAAAAATTAGCATATTGTGATAAAGTTCATTATTATCCATAATGTAATGATAAAAATTAAACTTTCATATATTTTAGATTCATTGCACACCAACTGAAATATTTCAGGTCTTTTATTGTTTTAATACTGATGATTTTGGCATACAGCTCATGAAAACCCAAAATTCCTGTCTCAAAAAATTAGCATATTTCATCCGACCAGTGTTTTTAATACAAAAAACAAAGTCAACCTTCAAATAATTATGTTCAGTTATGCACTCAATAGTCAATACTTGGTCGGGAATCCTTTTTCAGAAATGACTGCTTCAATGCGGCGTGGCATGGAGGCAATCAGCCTGTGGCACTGCTGAGGTGTTATGGAGGCCCAGGATGCTTCGATAGCGGCCTTAAGCTCATCCAGAGTGTTGGGTCTTGCGTCTCTCAACTTTCTCTTCACGATATCCCACAGATTCTCTATGGGGTTCAGGTCAGGAGAGCTGGCAGGCCAATTGAGCACAGTAATACCATGGTCAGTAAACCTTTTACCAGTGGTTTTGGCACTGTGAGCAGGTGCCAGGTCGTGCTGAAAAATGAAATCTTCATCTCCATAAAGCTTTTCAGCAGATGGAAGCATGAAGTGCTCCAAAATCTCCTGATAGCTAGCTGCATTGACCCTGCCCTTGATAAAACACAGTGCACCAACACCAGCAGCTGACATGGCACCCCAGACCATCACTGACTGTGGGTACTTGACACTGGACTTCAGGCATTTTGGCATTTCCTTCTCCCCAGTCTTCCTCCAGACTCTGGCACCTTGATTTCCGAATGACATGCAAAACTCATGGGTTTTCATGAGCTGTATGCCAAAATCATCAGTATTAAAACAATAAAAGACCTGAAATATTTCAGTTGGTGTGCAATGAATCTAAAATATATGAAAGTTTAATTTTTATCATTACATTATGGAAAATAATTAACTTTATCACAATATGCTAATTTTTTTAGAAGGACCTGTATATATATATGTACCAAGTTTTGTCATGAAACTCTAGATGGCGCAGGCTGATGGGTCCCTAATGTAACTGTTCATATTTATATTGTTAACTACATGCCACAAGCTGATTGGTTCATGTCACATTTGCAGCCAATTAACTTGCTGCTCAGCATTTCAATAGCTGGTTAGCATTTACTATAGCAGTTTGCACTGCACTCTTATCAGAGTTCCTCAGAAACCCTCCATCTTCCCCAGCTCCACCTGCCTAGAACTGCTACGGGTCATTTTAGATATGCTATCTGTTCTGAAGCAGTGTGTCTTACGTGCTCACATCAGCATATTATGTATTGGCAGTAGCAAGTTCCTGTACTTGCTCTGCAGCAGCAGCAACATTAATCTACCACAACAGGAATAATCAATGGCAGCACTGTGTGTGTGTGTGTGTGTGTGTCCTAATATATTCATATTTAATTATAACCAGTTCCAAAACCAACAAACTGAAAATAGACTAATTACATTAATTCAATTTCTCAGTTTAATGCGGAATCTTACACTCTTCACGGAAGACCCGGAGACGTCTTATCCAACACAAGATGCAGCATGGGACAGGTTCGAGAAGATTTTTATGGCTCTGTCTGGGCTGATCAACTATGCACCTGTTTTTAAGGACTACATTTACGAGGCTCTGACGGAGCTTTACAAAGATAACATCATGTACGTGGAGATGAGGGTCGGACAGTCCAAGGTTTGCGACTGTTAAACCACATTACAATATTGAGTTTATACACTGTGTAATCTCTTGGATGAAAAATTCAACTAATTTGTGAACAGATTGCATGTTTTACCTTAAAGTGCCTCTATTTTTCTATTTTAAATTTTGCTATTTGCTGTCTGTCACTCATCAGTTCATTGCACTCAGCTGTTTCCCATCACCTTGTTAATTCTGTGTGTATATATATACCCTGTCTGTTTTAGTGTTTGTCACGGAGTTGTTGTTTTATGTCCTCACACCTCTGTGCCCTGCCTTTGCCTGAGGCTTGTTTGTGTTTTATGTTTTGGACTCCCTTTTGGGATTTTGAACCTTGCCTGGACTGGATTGTGAGTACGGATTACCCTGGGTTTACCGGATTACCCAGGGAGGGCGGACCCTGCACCTGTGTCTCCGGAGAGGATGGCCACCGTCAAGCCAGTGTCTGTTCCTGAGCCGGAGCGGTGTCTGCTGTTCCTGAGCCGGAGCCGGTGTCTGCTGTTCCTGAGCCGGAGCCGGTGTCTGCTGTTCCTGAGCCGGAGCCGGTGTCTGCTGTTCCTGAGCCGGAGCCGGTGTCTGCTGTTCCTGAGCCGGAGCCGGTGTCTGCTGTTCCTGAGCCGGAGCAGTGTCTGCTGTTCCTGAGCCGGAGCCGGTGTCTGCTGTTCCTGAGCCGGAGCCGGTGTCTGCTGTTCCTGAGCCGGAGCCGGTGTCTGGTGTTCCTGAGCCGGAGCCGGTGTCTGCTGTTCCTGAGCCGGAGCGGTGTCTGCTGTTCCTGAGCCGGAGCCGGTGTCTGCTGTTCCTGAGCCGGAGCCGGTGTCTGCTGTTCCTGAGCCGGAGCCGGTGTCTGCTGTTCCTGAGCCGGAGCCGGTGTCTGCTGTTCCTGAGCCGGAGCCGGTGTCTGCTGTTCCTGAGCCGGAGCCGGTGTCTGCTGTTCCTGAGCCGGAGCCGGTGTCTGCTGTTCCTGAGCCGGAGCCGGTGTCTGCTGTTCTTGAGCCGGAGCCGGTGTCTGCTGTTCCTGAGCCGGAGCCGGTGTCTGCTGTTCCTGAGCCGGAGCCGGTGTCTGCTGTTCCTGAGCCGGAGCCGGTGTCTGCTGTTCCTGAGCCGGAGCCGGTGTCTGCTGTTCCTGAGCCGGAGCCGGTGTCTGCTGTTCCTGAGCCGGAGCCGGTGTCTGCTGTTCCTGAGCCGGAGCCGGTGTCTGCTGTTCCTGAGCCGGAGCCGGTGTCTGCTGTTCCTGAGCCGGAGCCGGTGTCTGCTGTTCCTGAGCCGGAGCCGGTGTCTGCTGTTCTTGAGCCGGTGTCTGTTCCTGTGCTTGAGCCATGGTCGCCCGAGGGGCCTTCAAGTCAAGTCAAATATATTTATATAGCGCTTTTCACAATACAGATTGTATCAAAGCTGCTTTACAGTATCAATCAAAACAACTTAACAGTGTTTGTTTATTACTGGAAAAAGACATCCAAGTTTGGTAGAGCTGATCAGTGGTATGATGGGTCATTTAGTTTGAATATCCCCAACTGAGCAAGCCAAAGGCAACAGAAAGGGGCCTTCACCGCCCTGGCCGACCCGAGGGGCCTTCACCGCCCTGGCCGACCCGAGGGGCCTTCACCGCCCTGGCCGACCCGAGGGGCCTTCACCGCCCTGGCCCTTCACCGCCCTGGCCGACCCGAGGGGCCTTCACCGCCCTGGCCGACCCGAGGGGCCTTCACCGCCCTGGCCCTTCACCGCCCTGGCCGACCCGAGGGGCCTTCACCGCCCTGGCCCTTCACCGCCCTGGCCGACCCGAGGGGCCTTCACCGCCCTGGCCCTTCACCGCCCTGGCCGACCCGAGGGGCCTTCACCGCCCTGGCCGCCTGATGGGTCGTCTTCTTCGCCTTGGCCACCCGATGGACTTTCTGTTTCGCCCTGGCCGCTGGCTAAACCATCACCCCCTGTTTCTGTTCCCTTCCATGGACCTGGCCCCCCATCCCTCCCCCTGATCCTCCACCGTTCCACCTCCCTCCTGGACTCTTGTTTTGTTTGTTTTTTGTGGGTCTTGGAGCGTCTGGTAGCCGCTCCGTAGAGGGGGGGTTATGTCACAGTGTCTGGTTTGTGTTCCCTGGGTTGTCACCAGAGGTCCTCGTTCTCACGGTGTCTTTCACGTTTGATTTCATTTCCCAGCATTCTGTCTGTCACTCATCAGTTCGTTGCACTCAGGTGTTTCCCATCACCTTGTTAGTTCTGTGTGTGTGTATATACCCTGACTGTTTTAGTGTTTGTCACGGAGTCGTTGTTTTATGTCCTCACACTTCTGTGCCCTGCCTTTGCCTGAGGCTTGTTTGTGTTTTATGTTTTGGACTGCCTTTTGGGATTTTGTTTATTTTATATTGTCCTGAAAACCAACTATATTGTAAAATGATATTATGTTTAGGTGTATGAACTGGATGGCACTACTCATGACAGAGCGTGGTCTCTGGAGGTCTACAGAAACATCACTGAGCTGTTCAGAGCAAATCATTCAGACTTCATAGGAACTCGTATAATCTTCACCGTCCACAGGTAAAACTACATTACATTCAATATGCTCTGTTGTTCCCTTCCCTGTTTTTTCCCACGAACAGATTAAATAATCCAAATACATTTACCAACCATTCCAAAATAATAATTAAATATTACTTCTGATGTAAAGAATTTGTATATCTGTTGCCTGCAAGGGTTGTAACACTAATGAAACATGTTTGTTCAATTTTATGTTTTAAAATGCTCTTTTTTACAACCATTAAAGAATTACAGCCTTAAGCCAAATGGCATTTTATACAGTGTTTTTCAAGAGTGTACCTTTTTGGTTAATTTAATTCACTCAAATTAATGATTACTGGTTTTAAAAACAAAAAAAGAAATGGCATTACATTTTTTTTTCAATTATGATGGCACTAGACTAAAGGGGTGACATTTCTGATTATGGATGAGATTATGGATAATAATGCTTCCTTAAAACATCAACTAGAAATTATAAAAGCAAAGAAACCAATGTCATAAATTAATGCAAAGTAGGATGAAACATTTTAGTGAACTCTCAGTTCAAAAAGATGATTTATATTGTCTAGGATTTTGTTTTGACAGGAGGTTTAATATACTTACTTTTCTGCTGATTTGAATGCACACACAGGAATCTTTATGTATATCAAGTGAAGGGGGCAGTGCAAGAGGCCATTGAAATGCAGCGAAAATATCCAGACATCGTCGCTGGATTTGACCTGGTAATCTCACCCTTGACCTAAATTAGGCTACAATCCATAGCCATGCCACCAGATATTTTAAAATTATGCTTAAGTTCTTCTTCACAAGGAAATTGGGCTTGATCAGGACCCTGCACGTAACAATAGTATTACTTTTCTCTGATTTGATCAATTTATTGCTGTAGGTAGGTCGTGAAGACACTGGAAGATCTATCTGGTACTTTCGAGAAGCCTTGTCACTCATTTCAGAGATGGAAACACAACTACCTTTCTTTTTCCATGCTGGAGAAACAGGTCAGTATGTGTACTTAGTCCATGTTGTCTGTCAGGCCTTGTCTTTCTAAAGCTGTATGTTCTCAGTTCTCCTTGTGTTTCGTTTTCCAGTTTCTGAGTTAATTGTATTTTGATATAGTGATGAGAGAAACGAAGCTTTTCGAAATCACAAACACAAATTCTCGCCCCGAATTACTGGTTCGAATTTTGAAAGCAAATTTTCTCAAAGGTTTCGAGGCTTGTTTCGAAAAAGCCCATCACTATTTTGATATTACTTTAATTAACATCTGCATTTGGATCCATCTCCCCCGAGTCTCCGAGTTCACCACATTAGACTATGGGTGTTTGCTTTTAGATTTGGATGGTACGGATGTGGACAGGAACGTTTTAGACGCTTTGTTGTTTAACACCAGCCGCATTGGACATGGCTTTGCGCTGGTACATCATCCTTTGGCCAAGCAGCTCTCCAGGACGAGAGGGGTGGCAGTGGAGTTGTGTCCCATTTCCAACCAGGTATATTCAAATAAAATTTGTTGTACTTCGCATGGTATTTGGACAGACTTAGCAGAATTATAGCAGTGTTTTGTTTTTCTCCAGGTGCTAAAGCTAGTCTCGGATCTGCGAAACCACCCCGCTGCGGCACTAATGTCAGACGGTCATCCCATAGTGGTGAGTTCTGATGATCCCACCTTATTCGGGACCACTGGGCTCTCCTATGATTTCTACCAGGCCTTTGTGGGTATTGGAGGACTGAGCGCAAACCTGGGCACTCTGAAGGAGCTTGCGATGAATTCAATCAGGTGCAGATTTATTCATACACTTTCATTTGAGAAATTTCACTTATGTAGAAGATAAATTTAAGGTTGCATTTTCCCCCTTTTTAACAGGTACAGTTCCTTGTCACCACAACTACAGGACAAAGCTTTGACGATATGGCAGGAAAAGTGGAATAAGTTCGTAGCAGATAATTCATAACCATGACAAACAGAAGAGGACTATTTTTTTTTTACTATTACCGAGCTAACAGGAAAAGTTTTCAATCCTTTGGCTAACATTCTGGCAAGCTTCTCACAAACCGATGAACAAACGTTCTTCCAGTAATGTTAATAGAACGTTCGTTCAAAGTTCTCTGGTCTTTAATCATTTTCTCAAAACGTGACCAAAAAAACATTTATACATCGTTTTAGGGTTACACTTTATTTCGACTCCACTTTAGATATTCTACTGACTAGAAGTAAAAACTTATTCTACTAACCCTAAGAGTTAGTTGACATATAGTTGCAAAGTTACTTACAATTCAGTTCGTAGAAGTGGACCATCGCAATAAAACATTTGACTGTTACCCATTTTGGTTGGATGTTCGTCAAACATATTTTAAATGTTATGGAATGTTTAGAGAACATTCAAAAGTAACCTTCCCATAATGTTTGCAATTTGATAAAATGGAATGTTCCCTTATTGTCTATGTTCAGAGAACATTCAGAAATAACATTTTCCCAACTTAATGGGAATGTTAGTGAAAAGTTTTTAGAACAGATTTTGTTAGCTGGGTAGTTACCTTATAAAACTAGGGGGGTTTCAAATGAAAAATAAAAAATGAGGAATAAAAAATTGTGCAGAAGGCCTGACTAAATGACTATTATTATTATTATTTGACATACTACTTTGACCAAGTTTAGTCAGTGAGGTTAATACAAAGTGTCCTGCAATTCAACAGCATTTATATTTGAACATTTAAACACAGATGTCTGGTGTGGCTCCCTTGCCAAGTTCTGTTAGTACTTGCTGACATTCCTCTTTACCACCATAAACAATAAAAAACTGTATTAAACCATATACTGTATATCAAGAACTTGTTCATGTTTACAAATTTTTTTATATATATATATTTTTTTAAAGAAGTCTCTTATGCTCACCAAGCCATTTATTTAGCATTATTCTGAGTTTAAATATTATTACCATTTTATCCTATCCTATTTATTGTCTATCCCATGGTTCTGCAGGAGAAGGCGAGACTCTGCAGGATCTGCCATTATTGGACAAACTGATTAATCCAGGTGTGCCTGATTATTGTTACTGAGGCCAGGCACACCTGGATTAATCAGTTTGTCCAATAATGGCAGACAGGAAACAAAAGAGCTGGCTGAAGTTCAGGAAGTAGTGCAGCTGTGCATAAAGCCAATTTGACTGTCGTCGTAGAAGTCCCACTGCAGGACTGTGAGTCAAATCTTCTGACACTGCCAGAAATTCGTCGGAGGTAAGATTTGATCACAACGGTCATCGGCTGTCGGTGAACATGTCAAACTAACCATCAAAGACTTCAGATTTTAAGGAGGATTCTTTTAGGATTTGTAAAAATGGTCTCAGACGGCCAAATCGTGGCCAAAATCGCACAGTGTGCACCCGGCTTAAGGGCAGGTAAAAGATGGAAAAAAAATGTTTTTTTTTTGGTTATTCCTTTAATAGACACTGATATTTTGTGACAACATGCACCTTCGAGAGCTGTTAGGAAGACTACTTAGAAACATGAAACAATTTCTAAAAATAATGAACATACAATGATTTCATAACGAATCAAACTTACATCCATCCATCGATTTTCTTAAAAATAACCTACTCTTGTACTGAAAGTTCAACATTTCATTTAAATCCTCTTTTATTCTATAGTTGAAATTTGACAATGTATTCCTGCTCGTGTTTTTTATTTACATAGAACCTTACTCCTGAAAAACTGAAACTGACACTTATTTATCTGAGTGGTATATTGAAAAGGACGTATAGGTTTACATTGATTTAGTAAAGTTTCTGTAAACTATGTAGAGCCAAATAATACACTAATTATGTTAATATTAAGTTAAGTTAATATTTCAGTAATTTAACAGCACATTCGCATATTCACAAATCTCTGATGTCCGTTAACAGTCACATGACATGCAGGTTAACAGACACAAATTTTAATCTTTATTTAGTTGAGCGTTTTATTTTGATTGTTTTATTTTAAAATTATTTATATAAGGATGCACGACTTGGCCAAAAAATAAATACATTTGAATTATTTTGTCATATATTACGATTTCTATTTGAACTCTGAAAATCATTCTTTTTCTCTCTAATCCTCTTTCTGAGTATCAGTTATATTTTTTATTTCTCATCAGATATAATATTTTTGTGCCATTTTTAGCACCTAAATTCTTTGTTTCTCCAATGTGCTCCAACATGTCAGCTGCGTTTATCTAAATTGATTATATGTTGCGTTTCAAAAATCCTGAATTACTTGTTTTATCCTCCAGTGCTGGTTTCTGCATTCCTGAATAAAAACGTTGTGTACGTTCTGCTCAGCACTGATCTCCAGACAGCGTTTGGTGTCTCGGTTCTGTATGGCCTGTCCCTGAAAATCAAACAAGATGAAGAAAATGTTTTCATGCAATGAAATATATTGTGATATACCACAGTATTCTCTCAGTATTTGGGGTTTGTTCACCTGTTTGAAGTCCCAGTACATGTGTTTTTGTTTTTCAGTGTCTGAACACCAGGACAGCTCTGGAAACCTGCCTAAGCCGGGATCAATTAGACAGCGCTTCCGACCGTGTAAAAGGGTCGGCAGGGGATAAGCAAATATCTCACCACTTGCTGTATAGTAAAATACCTGTGTGAGAAGAGAATAAAGTATAAAATATTCTCAAATATTCCTCAAAAATACAGAGAAGAGAAGAGAAGAGAAGAGAAGAGAAGAGAAGAGAAGAGAAGAGAAGAGAAGAGAAGAGAAGAGAAGAGAAGAGAAGAGAAGAGAAGAGAAGAGAAGAGATTATACCTGGGAGGAATAGACATGACATGGATATAAAATGGGAGTGTTCTCCTCAGATGATCCCTTATCCAAACATAAACTTGTTTGCAGATCATTAATAAGCTGTGTGATAGAGATAATAAGGACATTATATTAAACCTCTCTTATATAAAACTCATTAATTTGTTCATTCAATCAATCAATCTCTTTATTTGTCCCCATAGCAAGATTTGTTTGCAGACTATCAGGTAGGCATTATATCATACACCACACAAAGAACCTTCAAACATACTGGTAAACACACACCAATACACTTAACACATAATTCCCCATACCCCACACCTTACTACCGATTAAATTAGGCATACGAGACCAGCTGAGCATCCTGCCTATTTACCTTACATGTTTAAAAACTTAATTGCTTGAGGCACAAATTAAGATTTAGATCTATTTTTGGTAAATAGAGGGAGGCAGTATCGTCGCCCAGATGGCAGCAGTTCATAGTGAACCATGTCACTCACCACTCCATAACCAAGTAAATCATTCCTAGGATGTAATGCCGTATAGACATTTTCCAGATACCATTTGAATGGTTTGCATTTCAGCCTCTCTCTCAGTCTCTTTCTCTCTGAAACATCACCGATGTCTATCCCATGGTTCTGTGGGAAAAGAAGAGAACAGATCATAAATCTAATGAAGAGCCAAGGCAATTTAACATTTCAAACCTCAAAACCTTTAGTCACACATCTCGGTTTACTTTAATGGTCTCAAACCGAACCTGACAAAATCAACACATCAAAACTCCTAAAACTGGTCTTGAACATCCAGAATTTGTGTGACTGAATCTTTTCATGAGATCTACCTGTACGGGGACACCCCAGGCGATGTGGACATTTTTCTTGTATTCGTCCATCCAAACTTCTGCCACTCTGAGGGCATTTCTCTTCATTACACCACTAAGGTCAGACATGTAGGGTTTGTGCGCCCTTTCAATGTGGGCAACTTTAGAGCAGGGAACAATCTCTATACTTCCTCCACACAGCCACACCTGAGCCGAGAAAAATCAACACTGAATATAGTATAATATATAGAGTTTAATATAATATAATTCAGTAGAATGATCATGGGCTTTACCCGTATTCCTAATTCAACATTCTCTCCTCCGTACACCTGCATCCCTCCATCCAGAGTCCCAATCTCACCGAAGAACAGACGATCAACCACAAGTATTCCCATTACAGAGGGACTCCTGGAGAACAGGCGGAGAGAACGGATTTAATAGAGCACAAGCAAGATCAGCTCAACAGAACGATTGTCAGCGTGAAACAGCTTTCATACAACTTAAACTTAGAGGCCATATGATACTATTTTAAAAGGTAGTTACTTTGTTTATTGGGTGTACTAGAATAGTTATCATGCTTTAATGTTCAAATTTTTTTTCCGCATATTCCCCTTTATTCCCTGTCTGTCAGACACACTCTGATATCTACAAAGCACCTCCTTCCGAAAAGCCCAGAGTGCTCTGATTGGCCGGCTCACCCAGTGCGCTGTGATTGGCCGAGCGTGTGTCAGATTTGTAATGCCCCATCCCATAATCGTGTCTCACCTTTTTTCTTTATACACCTTATAGAGTGGTGCAGGTATGACGTCAGAGCCCGGAAGACTAATTCGCAGCTGGTTCCCTCAAGATTTTCCAATGAGGTTTTGTAATGGGGATTTTTTAATTTATGAGTAAAATAAAGCCTGTGGCAAATATAAGTTGACGATACTTTGACGTTTTGTTCTACAACGTAAATTACACAAACCCCATTATAAAAACCCTTAAGAAAATCTCAAAGGAACCTGTCGTGAATTAGTCTTCTGGGTTATACCTGCACTACTCGATGTAGAGCTGCGCCATGACAGGTATGAAAGTCAATTGTGACAGACGTTTACAGAAGTTATATCTGGACTTCGATCGATGCATTTTGGGCAGGTCTGGAGCAGCGTTTTCTGTTAGATGGAATAAATACCTTTTGTGGAAAACTTTCCAGATCTTATACATGCACTAACAGATGCATTACACACTAAAGAGTCACATCTTAAACACAATATTAGACAAAATACACACTCACTTTCCTGGCTGTGAAGGGTCTTTTTGATCGTACCACTTCTGTGGGAAAGCCACGTACATGCACCAGAGAGACCAATCAAAACCATGAGCAGAGGCAGGATTGTTTATCACTTCCAAGTCATAGCAATTCACTCTGTCAAACACTGGGCTCAGGACCAGCGTGCGATCAGCCTGGATACGTGCAAGCAGAGGCTCCGCCCTAAAAGTGAGAGAGTACTTGAGAAAATGTCATTTCATTACACTGTTATTGTGTTCCGTTGTCTGTGTCTGTGGTGGTTGTTCACAAGTGTTGTCATTGTTAACTAAAATTAAAGCTATTCAAATCATTTTCGTTAATAGAAATAGAGCTGAAATACAATAAAATGTAAACATAACAAGATTACTAAAATTACACACCATTTGACATGGACCTCAATATGGGCGTCCAAGATGGCAACCACATCTCCGGTGGCAGCCTCCCAGCCTGAGATTCTGGCCTGGGACAGGCCTTTCTGCTCTGGATGGATCACCATCTTCACCAGGCCTGGGTGCTTCTCATTGATGGAGCCAACATAAACATTCAGCTGTGTCTTCAGCTCTTCTGTGGAAGACAGAACATCCAGAATGACTAGATCAGTGTGTTTACAATATGCATCTGAGACTAAGATTTGATGAGGTTTTGAGAGAAACAAACCATTTCTGCTGTGGTCGTCCACCAGTATGATATCTTTGAGCAGGTGGGCTGGAGTTCTGTTGATGATGCTGCAAACGGCTCTTTGAATGACAGACAGAGCCTCATCCAGATAAATCAGTACCACACTGATGGTGGGCAGATTGTGCGGATATTCACGGCCAATGCATCTACAGAACAATGACGAAAGGAAAATTGATGAATCCATCAAGAACGTCAGAGCGTTTCCATGAACGGCTGAAACTCACCTGTGGTCTAGAGTGTCCGGCAGCTCCCGGTCCAGAGGCATCTGGTCACTGAGGAAGGCATTATAGCCGTATTTCTGAAAGAGATCCTGAGCCTTCCTCTGGTCGTCCTCAGTAAGTTCCACAGTCCATTTCTTGAAGAGATCAGAGTTTGGAAACAGGTTCTTTGTTGGCTTCTTTACTGGTTTCTTCTCAGTTCTTATTTTGAGGCTTTTCTCTTCTGCAAAAATGTTTGTGTAAGTCAATAAAATTTGTTAGAACTTTTTACTCTAAACCAGCGAAGTTGAAACCTTAAAGCTCATATTAACAGATTTTTGTTGTTTGATCTATTTGAAAATCATTGTCTACAATCACTTTAAATTACATTAATAGAATCCAACCAAGTTTCTTCAAAACAGTGATTTAAATAATATTGTGTATGACAATTGTTATGTAATTTTTAAAAATTCATTTAAAAAGAGATATCCCAGTCATAGTGGCATTGTAACAGCTGGTTTCATTTTTTTAAAGCACTAAATTGCATTGCTGCCGGAAAACTTTTGCATGATGCATTGCATATATATCAAGACAGACAGACAGACAGAAATATCTTATTTTATGTTCCACAGAAGAAGAAAAAAACATATAGTTTTGAATGACATAAGGTTGAGTAAATTATGAATTTCCATTTTTGGGTGAACTAAAAGAAATAAATAGAGTCAATTTTGGTTTCCTGACAACTTTAAAGAGCGCTTAAAGGGTAATATGTAAAACAACAGGTAAACAAATCATTTTTGTCAAATTTCATTACAAAACATATTAGAAACTCACCAACAGCGTATAAATGAGCCTCCAGTTTGTCCAGCTTGTTGAGGAGAAGTGCGCTGTGTAACGAGAAATTCTGCTGGACTTGGTGAAGCTGCTTCTCTTGAGTTTGGATTTCCCACTTGAAAGAACTCATATAGAGAAACACCACAGCAAAAGACAAGACTGGAAACAAACTCTTCACACTGCTAATTCTCATGATGATCAGAACGGCAAAATCAAGTTTTCCTTCTTCAGGTACCAGTTAGTCTGTGGGCACAGCCCATGTTAGATTTTGTGACACTAATGTTTGCTGAGTGTTTTTTTAGTTTGCTGGTCTTTATCACTCTAACATAATCACATTAATCTTGGAGGAGACCAGGACATTGAATCCTGGTTAAACACTTCAAAATATTCACTTGACCAAACTGTCTTAACCTCAATGATATCATTCAGCAAAATGAACCAGTCTGACATTACAGTCCTTTAACTTAATTTTCTCTTGTCATGTGTTTTTGATTGATTTTGATTTAGCCTAAATGATTACAGAAGGCACTTGTTACACCAATAACTATTTTATGTATTTTTTTTATTTATTGAGAAGCACCCACATAAAGTTCACCAAACTAGGAAAAGTCATAGATATCTTATTTTAAGTCAAAATAGGCACACAGTGAGAGTATTCCCAAAGAGATTATCACCTGTTGCAGTTTTGAGTATTCACAAAACCTGCAGCATTGAAAGACTTGGATGCTGCAATAATATAAGTCAACAAAGAGTTGACTTATATTATTGTAACATAATTTATGAAGAAACACCCTGCCTCTGCAAACAAGACTTCTTACAATTTACACAGGCTATTTAATTAATATTAAAGGCTTTGTTGGCAGTTAGTCTGAAACCGCAGTGCTGTGTGAGCTGGTTTTCAGTTTTATTTGCATAGCACATTCAATAATGTTTCAAAGAATATAGCCGTATATTCTCCACCCCAGATGACTGCGGTAAGGACAGCTTCCCTATTGTTCCCCTCTCCTTCATGGCTTGTTTTGGCAACTAGAGGGAGACATGGCTTGAGCGTTCACTTAAAGGGGTCATATAATGCCATTTTTGTACAAGCTAGTATGATTCTTTAGGGTCTAAATTAAAAGTTATATATATATGTAATATACTTTAATTAAAAATTCTCATTAGTATTGTAAGAAAACACTTATTTTACTTGGTCAAAAACAGCTCTGTTTTCAGCACGCTGTTTCAGTGCATATGACTTTAAATGATAATGAGCTTTGCTCACCCCGCCTCTCTGTTCTGTGTGTACACCGTTTGTAACACAATAACACAATAACCATAACGTGTTGTTCAGTATAAACGTGGGATTATGAATTATATTGAGGACATCATACATAGAAAACATGCCGTAATGTACCCTAAGTGTAAACCTTAGACGCATTCATTGTGAAGCGTGCAGCTAGCGATTTGCAAAGATTAATATAAATATAATATTAATATAAGTTTAATAAAACGTTACACTCACTTCAGTTGTTCTAGAGGTTCAGCAGGAACACGAATAGCTGGTACCGATCCTTTTTTCATGAGCAGCTTCTTAGCAAAACCAGGTTTATACAGACGCTCGTTTATAAAGCAGTCTGGTGAGAAATGATTCGCGCAAACATGAGAGCATTGACGTTGATCGTGTGGAATATTCCCTTCGAAAACAAACTCAGCCACTGCGTCTTCAGCGGTTCGGATTTAGGAACATTAAAATGACTGCTGTGTTCGTTATTACACACAAGAACAGAACACCACAGTCGCTTAGACGCCATTCTGCTCATAGACAGTGCTCCAGCATATCAACAATGACTGCGCCGGTCCGCGCGGACTATGATTGACAGCTCGCTCACAAGCGAGGGCGGGTCTGTGTAGAAACGATGCTGTCAATCAACAATCATGGGAGGGGCTTCCGAGCGTGTGATGTCACAAAATCGAACGGCTCAATTTGAGGCAGGGGAAAACATATAAGGAGATTAAAACAAAAATACTGGATGGATTTTTATCATTTTATGATGGTTGTGTACAGGCACTGCCAACACACATTTCAGTACAATCAACTTGTAAAAGTGCATGTACCATTATATGACCCCTTTAAGACAGGCGCTCCGAAATCGCCCCCATACCCTCATTCACTATTCCCTACATTAGTCCACTAATATATATATATATGTACTGTATATCACTTCAGGGAGTGAATGAAAACGAGTGAGCAAATTCAGATTTTAGCATATTATAGTCTTTAATGTTTATCAAAAAATGCATATTTACAGAGCTAAAACACACCACACAAAAGACATTTAAAAATATTACACTGACAACAAAAAATAATTTATTTCTTACTGTAAGTAAGGGATGAAAGGCCTTAAAATTCTGGACAAATTTCAGTACTTTGAAAATAGACTTCTTACCATTTTTTTTTCTCTGCCATGGAAACCTAAAGATGTGCAGCTTCTCATTATATAGTTTCTTTAAAACTAGTCTGTTTAATTCACAGCAGCATTTTGGTGAAGGGGTTTGATTCGAGCCCGACGGGAAAGTCCTAAACGCAGCCCCTGTCCAGGAGACTTCATAGGTGTATTCTGAGACGCACCGGGACTCCGGCCAACCAGACCTGGAAATGGAGTTAGAAAGAATTTACAACAGGACCACAAATACAGCACTTTTTCTGTTTTTTTGCCAGTCAAAATTGACAACTTTGCATCGATGATTTCAGCCTGTAGTCTCACCAGGGGGATTCCACTTAGGCAATTTGCCCCCTGCAGGACTGGAGCAGAGAGCAGGTTTAGAGATAGGTGGAGTATTTGGTGTCTTCTTCAGTCCAGACACAGGAGCAGCTGGACTCCGACAGATCGCTGGGCTGGGAGCTGTCAGAAAGAGAGAGATGTTACGTGTTAGTGTGGCATGTCTTTCATCGGACTGTAAAATGTAGGGTGTTCACACTTAGCAGGTTTGGTTCAATTAAAATGAACTCTGGTGCGATTGTTCTGTTAGTGTGGTTCATTTGAATGACTGTGAACGCTGCAGAACCCTGGTGCGCACCAGACAAGTGGACTGAGACCCATGAAAAGGTGGATCTCGCTCCGCTTCCAAACGAACTCTGGTACAGTTCGACAGAAATATAAACGCAACACGGACCAAAGCCATCTAAACTAGCCAAAACCAGGACCTGATGTCACAAGATGCGACCCCTAAAAAGGACAGAATACTCAAGCATACCTTTTTTTCTCATCATAGGAGAGAAAATGCTTCTCTTTACAGTTCAGTATAGGCTTCAGAAATGCTGTCTACTTGCAGCAGATCTCGGTTTGGGTGTGTGACGGAGGGATTCCTCGCACTATTTTGACTCCCTCAAACAAACTCTTCACGAGTTCTCAGCTGGTAAAAATACCATGTACACACACATACAATGAGCGCATTTAGCCCAGCACACAGCATTGTTTTGGATGTTCTGTAAGTTTTGTCGCAAAATATATGTTAGAAAAGCTGTTTTTTGTTTTGTATCTAGGTTCAGTGTTAAAAATGACAGTAAGGTTTGCCACAAAATATATGTCGTTTTTTGTTTTGTTTTGTACCTTTAGTTTTGGTGTTAAAAATGACAGTGTGAACCAGGACTAAATGTATGATTTTCTCTTTTGGTCCAGACCAAAAGAACCAAGAGAAACTAACTACAAGTGTGAACACACTCTTAAGAGCAGAAAAAAGTACCTGAGGTTTTAGCTTTTGAGGCTTTCGTGGGCTTTTTGTCTTTCTTTTCCTTCTTGTCCTTCACAGGAGGTGGTGCCTTTTTTTCTGTCTTTAGTTTCACCACCTTTATCTTCTTCACCGTGAATGTCTCGTCTTCACTTTCATCTTCTTCAGTGAAGTCTGCATCACTCTCCGAATCTGCAACCGGAACAACCATAAATAAATGCCCACATTTCGAATCAGTAGTATTAAATTTCATCATGAAAACACTGAAAACATGTGCAGCAGAGGCCAGTCCAGGTCCATGTGACTTTAAAAAGTATCTATTATGCTTTTTAATATGTTCAACTTTCTCTATTGTTCACAATATTCCTCATTTAAATAATTCCTGCCCAAAGCATACGCAAAATAAAGGAACGAGGCCTGGTTCAGTTAATCAGTAGTGTTGAAACTCGCAGTCATGGTAAGGAGTGTGACATTTCCCAAACACACTCGAAGTGGTTGACCAATCACAACACACTGGTCCAGTCGACCAATCAGAGCACATTGTGCTTTTCAAGAGGAGGGTCTTCATAAAGAAAGGAACTAAACAGAGCGTTACTGACAGACTGGAAAAAGAGGTGCTACAACAATGTCAAACATGTGATTTTCTTTTTACATTCCAGCATGAAAACATTGCTCTATTAGACCCCAAAAACAACATTTAAGACTTTGTAAAAATTATTACTTTGCCTCATTAATTAAGTGAAGGTCCTCAGATTACCTGGTGTGTTTTGCGGCTGGTAGTCCTCATCAACTTTGTTGTCCTTCTCCTTCAGTGGTTTGCTCTGCTCTTCTGAGGCATCAGTCTGTTTGGAAACATTGGTAGTGGAGGCATCCATGCTGATCAAATTCAGCCCTGAAAACAAAGACAATAATAAACACCTGATAGGCACACATTTATAGAAAATATAACATTTGTTCTCTTCTTTCTGATTTTTTTTACCCTTTGAAATTTCAATTTTGTAAACATCAATAGTTCATATCTGCATAATGACAAGCCTGCATTACCTAAACTTCTGCCATCAATGCAACAATTTGACAGCACAGGAGGAAAATCTGGATGGGGATGACTGTCGTCTACTGTACAAAATCAAGCACAGAGTTTTGTTTAGAGAATAGACAAAGGTTTTTGCATGGAAATGTCAAATAAAGCTGCATAAATATGTACAAATAATCATAAAAATATAGAAGAGAAGAGATAATCAGTTTGTGACCAGTAAAAAGACAAAATTACTTGTTTTTACCTAAATGGCTGGCATCAGCACTGCAGTGTATCAGAACAGGTGGAGAACATTGAGCAGGCTGAGACACGTCACAATCATCTGCAGAACACAAAAAGACAATAAATAACAGTAAAATACAGCTTTGCACTTCATGAATGAGGGAAATTAGTATTTAGACCAGCAGAATATTCACCTGTTTTGGTTGTAGGCTCTCCATCTTGTGTTCCTGGAGAGTTTAGCAATGACAATGTTAGAGCTGTCTCCAAATCTCTGTCATAAAGTTTATCATCCAGAGACGTCCTGAAATAACGCAACAGTAAAGGGTCAATGGTGTCATTACATACACTCAGTGGACTGTGGTACATTAATACTTTTCTGTGAGTGAAATGTGTTTTGAAAAGGCAAAAAAAGCTTTTTGTAACCTCTTCCTGCTTCCTGAGCTGGTGAGAATAACAACTTCATTTGGAGATGCACTTGTAGTCTTGTCTTGGTTTCTCTCCGAAACAGCCGTTCGAGCTTTTTTGGGAGGAGGTTTCACACAGGTAAAGTCCTCATCTGTCACATAAATCATGTAAACATCTTTATAGGTTCTAAGTGATTTTGAAGTGATATCCTTAAAGCAAATCAGATGTCTCACCATCATCGTCTTGGAAGACTGAGTAGTTAACAGCTTTCCTATTTCTGATGACAGGTAGAAAACAGTTTGCATCAAAGAGGACACTGACTTTCCAGATTTTTGAACTCACGGTGATTGATTATGAAAATATCAGTAAGTAACAGGTCATCACGAAAAACAAAGAGCAACAGCTGTCATACAGATGCAAGCACATATGGAAAGTGACAAGACAACACTAATCTAAGGCACTGATTAACTCATTAAACGTTATATAACGTTAATACGCACCTGGAAGGTCTGTCCATAATTTAGTGAAAAAAGAGATAATAAAATCGCACTTTATGCGCTATGAACACTGACAGTACTACCGTGTTTTTCTACTACCTTTCGTGATATCTATTGTTCAAGTTAAAAATATAATGGGCAATTTTAGAAAGTCTGTATGTATATCATTTTGTTTTGATGTGAGCTGAGCGGAGCTGAGGCAGGCACAGTCCCGCCTGAAAACAAACTATGGAAATCTACCTGAATATACGAATTTGCAATTCACTATAAGCGTGTCTACCGTTGTGTTTCCAGTTCAACACAAAGTAAGTGATTAAAATATAATAGTAGTTTTCAATTATTATATGGTCTTAAAACCTCGACGAAACTTGTTTTAATTGGTACAAGCTTAGTGCGTTTTATAAAAATGTCGAATCTGCGGATACGATTCTAAGCGTGGACGCGCAGATCACGTCACATGGAAAAAAATATGTTTTTTCTATCTTTTGATTTAACTTATTTATTTTTGCTGTTTATCATAGTGTACCCCCATGATGTATTTGTAAATCTTAATAATAATAATAATAATAATGATAAATAATTATAATAATTAGCTATTTATGTTAGATGTTAATAACCTGATGATTATTTGTTTATTTAACAATATATAACGTTGCATCCTCTCTTAGTAAAGGATTTCAAATAGTTTAGGATTACTTCACAGAATATAGGCTATTTTGGTAATAAATAAATAAATAAATAAATAAAAAGTTTGAGATAATGATAGACTTTTGCAATATTAGCCTAACAGCAGATTTAGACTGAACCAACCATAAGACCTCCATTGAAATTTTACATCAGAAACTTCTCTTGAGTAAAATAAAAATGTAGCCCACTACAAATTTCTTATAAATTACGTAACTCAAATTACCTTTTTAAAAATTTACATAAGAAACTGTAAAATGTCATTTTTCAAAACATGTCAAAACATGCTGCTCTCAAATCAGCTACAAAATCTAAATCCTCTTTCTAGTAGAGCTTTAACATAACCAGGTCATGGTGTAACCTAAAGGTGGGCTCTCTGTAAGGCCTTTCCTTCCAAAAATAACCAAAGTGCAGCCTTTGACATTGGAAACAAAACAGAATGTGGAAAGGTTTATTCTTGGAGACTCAGATTTCAGATTGATTCTGAGTGTTCATCATTCCCATCTAATGACAGGAACCTGAGATGTTAAACCAGATAGCTTTCCACTGAGTTCAGTCAAACAAATCTCACAGTCCAGTGACCAAAAGGTGATAAACAGATGATATTGTCCGAATTAACTCACTTTTCTGCAAAGATTATTTTTCTTTTTCTCTTTGAAAATGTCACACTTTTTTGTGTTTGCCTTTCATTGTGTTTATGTCATAGCTTACTGTTTATTGCACATTAAAAGAATTAAAAAAAAACGAACTTACTTTCTAATTTTACTGCAAGACGAATAAGACACAAATAAATCACAGAACATATTTTCTTTAATCATGAAAAAACTTTTATTTGTTTAAAACGAGTAAAACGGGTATTGCCTATAACATTTCCCTGCACATCTAACATTTAAAGCATCCATATAAATACCATAAATAAAACATATGTAATAATTAAATAAATAAATACTTTCTTGGTTGACAGTTGTTATCCACGGGTGGTGTCCAGCACCAAAGACAAATTCATGGGGGCAGGTGAAAAAAAAACAACGCAGGTTCTTCAGATTTGGTGGGATGCAGATATTAAAAAGCCTAAAGAATCTTCAGATCTATGTGAATTTGATTTTTAATATATGTCCTTTAAAAGATTTATTTATGACCATTGATGAAAATATGGAGTCAGTCACACTCTTACGTTGGTGGGTCCACAGTCACCTGCATGGAGGATCAAGATGGTCTATCCGACAATTGCTGAAATCCGGGGACTGCCGGGGCTTGAGTCGTGAAGAAGGTCCCAAGGGTCATCATCGGATGGGGAAACTAGGGTTTCTCTGGAGATGTTTTGTCCCTCCGATGGCTCAAAGTCCAAGTCCGCATCGTCCTCTTGAGCAGCTCTGGAGTCTGACTCCTCTCCGTACCGGAGCGCGTTCAGCGGGTCTGACGGATTCACCTGACGGTTCCTCCGCTCCCGGTGCTGCAGGCGCTCCAGTGGGACAGTGTTCTTCTCTGATAAGAAGAGAGATGACTGAGGGAGGTTTTGTCCAGCTATGAACACCTGTTTTGCCCCATCCAGGTTAAGCAGTATGCCATGCTTGGTGGAGTAGTACACGTCACGATTGTTTTCCAAAAGTGTGTGGTGAAAAAGACAATCTTCTTTATTGCAGACCGTCTAAAGACATAAAAAAAATATACCAATAGTAAAATAACAAATCCAAAGAAGGCAAAGTGGCACGGCTATTATTATGTACCAAGACGTATAAGGCCCATTCACACCAAGAACTATAACGATAACTATAACGATAACAATTGACCGTTGCCACATTTCCGGGTTTCTCACAAGCAGAAGTCATCATAGTAGGGTACACTTCTATAGTGGTGAATGAGAGACTACATTAAATATATTTTTCATGTTCCCATTTGCTCAAATAACAAAAAAGAAAAACTCCATAATAGTGTTTCGCAACTTTCAAAAGAGGGGAAAAAATAGAGAGAGATTGTTAACGGCAGTCGGAAGAGAGATGTCAATTTTGATGTCACTCCCACAGCGGCTCAAAAAGAAAGGCTATACCCTCAAAGCTGTGTTATAACTAGTTTGTTCGTTCTGAAAGTGATTCCAACTTTTCTCTGTGCCATTATGGTTATAGTTGTGGTGTGGACTCTGCTATTCTTTTATAGGCTATTGGAACGATTTTCAGAATAATATCTTTATCTCGTTATAGTTCTGATCCTTGGTGTGAACAGGCCTTATGGCTATTAATAATGATCTGTGTGTGTAACTTACATAAGATTAGCCAATGCCTTACTTTTTATACTTTTTTTTATTACCTTTTTCAACTTAAATGCATTTGATTAAAAACTTACAGATGTAAAAAGGGTCCCTCCTGCATCCATGCACAAAAATCGGTTGCTTTTCACTCCAAATATTGCCAGACGGTCTCTGCTCTCTGCCTTCAATAAAATTACACCTGTTGAAATGCAGGATTTAAAGAAGATTAAACTGGGGAGATATAAAGGACAGTGTTTTGATATGAAAAAAAAATGTTTTATTTAATCATCTTTGCTCAGACTGGTGTAGTTTGACTTTTATTTTACTGGTATTAATATCCTAAATATCGGTGGCATCATCTTTATGCTGATGAAAAACATTAGGTATAGGCTATACTCACTGAAGGACCCCCGGTTTGTAGTTTTGCGCACATGTCCGTTCGGGCTGATCTCCAAGTAGAAGTTGTTTAAGTCTGAAGTTGTCTGAAGGTGGATGAATCTCCGCGGGTTCCCCCAGTTGGAGCCCAGGAGAGGAGAAGGGTTGGGGGCAGCATCCGCAGGTCTGAAGCCCTGGAAAGCTGTGAACCACAGCGCAAGGACGGAGGAGTGCAGCATGTGCAGGTTGGAAAGTGTGCAACGCATCTTCACAGAGCGCAGAGTATCGATGCGTAAAACCAGTGTGCAGAGCTGAAGAGGTTGTGATGCGTAAAAGTTTGTGAGCGTGGCTATTTAAACGCATCCTGTGCCACTCCTCGCCATCCTTTACGCAACACTCGCCCCCAGAGCCAGAGGATGTGAGGGGGCGGCTTCAACATGTCCACCTTGTTATGAAGGTAATTGACATGCAAACCATAATTGGTTTGTCAATTTGCCACAAATTTGACGTTCTATGTGTCTTAACTCATGGGACATAAGGATACAAAGTACCTCTCGGCTCATTTCAGTTGTTATTTTGCATGTGAGAATCATTTGGTGGCCTCCAAATGTTTCTCAAATGTTAAATAAGATGTATAACTTTATGTAGGCTTACGTTTATTTATATAGGCTATTTAAGATTCTCTAGCCTATGAATTGACTTCTCTGCACGATCAGTAGGCTGAACGGACAGTTTTAAGTCGCTGTGGATAAAAGCGTCCGCTGAATGAATAAATGTAAATGTAATGTAAATGTAGTATGACCCCAATCTGAGCTTCCTCGTGTTGACCAGCAGAGGGAACATGTGCTTCATTCAAGAACAGAACAGGGACCGATTCAGATGGTCCAAACATGAACATAACTGTGTAGAATATAAAAAGATATAACAACAACAATAATAATCATAATAGAATACATCGAATTTTTCAGTATATAGCAACAGAAGTGGCCAAAATTGATGTCCGGCCTGAGAAAATTTAAATTGTGTTCCTTTGTTAAACATTTTTTTGAATTTCGTAAAGATTTTATAAGCATTGCTTAGTTGTCCTTGGATTCAATTGTTTTTTTGTGTGTGTGTGTGTGTGTGTGTGTGTGTGTGTGTGTGTGTGTGTGTGTGTGTGTGTGTGTGTGTGTGTGTGTGTGTGTGTGTGTGTGTGTGTGTGTGTGTGTGTGTTATGATAACGCAATGAAACATGACAAAATGTGCGGACATCATTTTTGGTCATACAAAGAAATGATGAACACATGCAAAAACGAAATTGCCAAAAACATATTAATAACTGATTATGTTGGGGTCAATGTATGCTTTTTCCTGTGAGTTTTTTGTTTTCTAAAATAGTAAAATAAAACCTTTAGTTGAAGTTTGCCTCTTTTTTTTTTTTTTTTGCCAAATAATTTTGTCAGATAAATACCTTAACCAAGTTTAGTGTTTTGTTCCTCCCTCATATTTAAAATATCCTCATATTTTGATGATTTATTCAAAATTATAGGGTCATTATGACTAATTTCCCCTCCAGATATCACTTTTGGTCACTATAGTCTAATACTTAAACTTGTTTTTCTTTCTATTATTCTTTATCATATTTTCATTCCTTAAATACTTTATTCTTTTTATATTTTATTATAATAATTTATATTTTAGAATTCCAAAAATGGAAAACAAACAGGAACAATTTGTGGAAACCAAACAGGAACAATTTGTGAAGAAAATAAAGGAACTAGGCTTGGATAAGGCCAAGAAATTTAATCTAAAAAAAAGTAAACATTCCATACTAACATTCAAATAATATATATATATATGTATATATATATATATATATATATATATAAACAGATTTACAGATAAATTGTATTACTCTAAAGCTTAAATTTATACATATAAATCAGACAAAAATTCAAATAACCATGACAGGGAAGAGGTTTATGAATACTTGCGAGTAGTTTATTGAACTGTTTCATGTTGTATAAATGATCCTGTATGAGTGTGACATCCTGACAGCATGACTGGAGTGGCAATTATTTCTAGAAAAGAATCAGTTCTGACTGCTCACTGTACTTGCTACTTTGAGCATATAATGTGAAACAAATACACACACATATGAAAAAAAGAAAAAAAAAAGAAAATAGTTTTATTAACATCTGGAACATGATTATACTGCTGTGCACAGCACATACGTAGAAAAGTAAAGGAAAAAAATATTTTTCAATAAATCTGTATTTATACATAGCATCAGCGCTTGTTTTTAGAAACACATGATTATGTCCTCAGTTTTCTGTCAAAAATAATTGCAAGAAATCTTAACTAAGGCAAGGGTGAGAGATGTGTTTACAAAGAGGAGCGGACAGAAACACAAAACAGCCACACAAAATCCTGGATTGTACTAATGTGTGTGTGTATATATATATATATATATATATATATATATATATATATATATATATATATATATATATATATATATATATATATATGTCCCTAAAGAATATCTATATGTCAAAACCTGCTAAGGGGTAATAATGGAACAAGTAATTTTTAACTAATATTTACAACAGGATCTGCATTTTCATGGGTTTAAATAAAATATTTTTCTTATAGGAGACAATAAAAATAACTTTGTGCATCAAAACCACTCCTTTCCTGGTAAAAAAAAAAAAAAAAGAAGAAAAAGAACTTGGTTTTCAAAAGTCAATGAATTTGCGACAGCTGAATGTAACATTTTGGACAAGCCAAACATCTCAGTCTCTGAGTTACAAAATAAACTTCATTCAGTAAAATAAGTATAACACAAAAAGCATTTTGAACGTCTCCAGCACGTTTTATAATAACCCAAACACCCCTCATGCACATTATCACGTCCGTCAATAACTTAGGCTGGCTGTCGGTTGGAATATTCTAACTAAAAATATGGACATAAAACACTCATGGGCATCAATCACTTCACTGAATAAATAATTATCAGCTTACAATTCCACATCATTTTAATATCCCGACATCGATGTCTGTCAAAAAATAATGTACAATACACTAGTGTTTACTAGAAGCAGAGGTCCAGCGAGTCACGCATTTCCGGGAAAACCCACACTACCGGATGTTTTGACTACGTCATCGCTGTCCGAGAAGAAGGAGAAAATGACGGCATGAGCGGCTTCAACATGCTGTCTGTCAGAGACAATAACGTACATAATACATTACGCATGTGAGTATACATTTGTTCTTCCCTCGCTGAAATTGAATCGGAATGATCAGGGAACCGAGTGAAATCTTCACACTGCATGCTAAAGAGAATAAACGCCAATCCAATTGAAAAACTTCACACGGGTTAGTGAACATTGACTTTGACATTGTTCAAGGTTAATTCCTGACGGAAACAGGAAGTTGTACGTTATATTTTGACGGACATTTTTTAATGCACAAACTAGCATTCTGATTCTGACATTACTGATTTGAATATGTTCAATAATTTTCTACTCTTGACTTCTTGATCTTTTTTTCATAAATTTGGCAATAGATGAATTGTATATTATAAACTTGACAGGTGATTTTTATAAAATGTAGTTTGATCACTATCTTCTCATTTGAATTATCAAAGTTTGATACAATTTTGTTTAATTTTCCAATAAAATATTCATTTTTACATGAATTGTTACATTTAATTATCCCATAGCAGATTTGGACTCATATCCTTTCTTATTTTCCTTTATCTAATTTGTCTGTTTACCCTTTAACAAATTGAAGTAGCTTATGCATTGAAGTAGCTATGTAATGTGCTAGTGACAAAAAAAGAAGAAGAAAAAAATCCAGAAATCACTCTAAATGATTAATGACCCCCCTCAGACACCGGGTTCTATCCTCTCACTGTAACAGGATCAGCCACACAAAAGCCATTTCAAAACAAAAACACTGCGAAACCAAGAACTGGCATCCCATTGTAATGCCCAAAGCCTCCCTCCATATGTGAGGAGGATTCAGACGGTGACAGCTTGCAGTCATTCATGCACATACGTTTTTCTCATGAGCGTTAAGAGTCCAGTCTACCAGGAAACTGGTGTCTATATTCTATGCCCAATAAACATTTTTACAGCTGTTGCTATAAATCCAAGCGACATACATCAGCAGATGAGAAGGCTCCGATTCCCAAATGTTCACGCACATCGCTCATTCTTCAGTCATAGAAAAAAAGGCTCAGTGGGGTTCTATATAAAACCCTAGGGTTCTTGACTCAATTTTAAAGCCAAAAAAGTTCTATATAAGGAGAAATGTCTTAAATGATTGCATAATACTTTCATAATTAATATGTTATTTTCATATTTTTCTAGTGATAAAGTATGTTTAAAATCTGTTTCATTTAAAAAAAATGTAATTGAAAATGAATTAAAACATTCATAAAATAATCCATGATGGAACCCCTAAAAGGTTCTATAAGCGCTTACAGAATCCTTTAAGGTTCTATATAGAACCTTTTCTTCTAAGAGTGTGGTGTTGTCACAATCAGGACACAAATTAAAGAAACACTCCCTGATTTCACTCCCCTATTCTTAACGCTTCATTAGTGCTCAAGACATTACAACACATTCAGAAGACATACTGTATTAAAATAGATTTATAGGTTGACCATGCAGTATAGTTTGCTAAAATGATTAATCATTGATCTTTATTGAATCAATTAATCTTAAAATAAGGTTCTAATGAAGCCAAAATGTTAGCTTATCCACTGACATCATTAAATGTGTATGAAAAGCTATTAAATAGTGACATTTATGTCTTATAAAGGTGTTTTATTGTTTTTGTAGACTCACAGTGATTTGAATTCCGAGGCACATCAGCTAAATACAGTCCTCAATGGCACAGCAGAAAAAAACTGAAGAAATGTGCTAATGTACAAGTAATGACTGAATGCCTTTAACATCTTTTAACAGATGAGACCACAAAACAAGCAGCGTGGCATAGGCAAGAATTATTAGGCATTTTTGTCTCCCTAAAGTATTGCGTCAGTCCTGCAGAGGTCTGTCCTGATATATTCACTGCGCTAGAGGAAGGAGCCAGTTCAATTTTTAAAGTGCCCCATTATGCTTCTTTTTAATATGACTTTTTATGCAGTGTTTAATATAGCTGTTTGTCAATGTAAAGGGTCTGCAAAGTTTTAAAGATTACAGTGCATGACAAATAAAGTTATTGTCTCCCAAAAGAAAGAATCGATTCTGAACTGCATGAAACAAGTCGGAAGTAATTCGTCTCACTTCATGTTACATATCTATGTAACAAATTTGCATAATGCC